CTTTGGCTCAGGTCATCATCTCTCGGTTCGTGAGTTCAAGCTCCGTGTCGGGCTCTGTGCTGACAGCTCGGAGCCTGGAGCCTGCTTGCGATTCTGTGTCTCCCTCTCTCTTCCTCCACTGCTCATGCTCCGTCTCTCTCTCTCTCTCTCAAAAATAAAGATTTTTAAAAAAAATTTTTAAAAAAAGGACTGCAGCTGAGACATCGTGGCAGGTGCTGGGAGGCAGCAGTGAGTAAGAATTCTCTAGGCTCAGAGCTGTCTTTGTATCCTCGGAATGTGAGTGTCCTCAGTGACTGTGAACACCCCCTCACCCAGAGAAATGCAGACGCGCAGGGGCCAGGCCACCCACTGGCCCTGACCTACCTCTGCATGAGAGACCAGCCTAAAACCTGAGGACTGAGAAGGAAGGATGGAATTAGAAAGTCACCGCTCAGCAACCGACGCGAGAACGTTGTTCCCGGGAAGATTCCAGCTAAATCTGGAGGGCAGAGGCCTGACGGTCAAGGGACGGCAACCTTATCTCAATATCTCCTAGCAAAACATGTGATTGTTTCCAAAGGGCAAACAGGAACTTTCCGAAGAGGCACCCAGCAGACCCCCATCTTGACCGAGTGAGCAGAGTTAACCTGGCCGGGAAGGGGGTGAAGCGGCATCGCCTGCCTCTGGACAAAGACCCAGGTCGCTTCAGGGTTCCTGCCAAAACCCAAAGCAAGGGACATTCCACAGAGCGATTGGTGAGTCCTGTCCCACAGGTCAAGGTCATGAAAGACAAGGAGAGCCTGAGAGGCTTTTCCGGATTGAAGGTGACTGATGAGATGTGACCTTAGATGCCATGTGTGATGGTGAGACCGGAGGGAGGGCAGGGGTGGGGTAGGGGGTCGGATTCCAGAGAAGTCTGTAGGTTAAATGACAGTGCTGCTTCTGTGTCACTCTCCCGGTTCTGGTCCTTGCCCCGGGATCATGCAAGAGAATGTCCTTGTTTTTAGGAACTTCACGATGAAGTGTGGAGAAGGTAAAAAAACAGAGAGGGGGAAGGGGGCATAGTGGCGAAAGGTGAATTCTTTCTCACCGTTCTGGGGGTGACTGGGCGTTTCTCTGCCGGCTTCATCGGGCCTGGCTCTCATGGCGGCATCCGCTGGCGGGTTGGACTGGGCTGGAAAGCCCTCACACGTGGGCACTCGGGGCTGAGTTGGATGGGCCCTCAGTTCTCCTCCACTGTGGCTTTTCATCCCCGGGTCCCCTGGACCACCTTCCAAATATGGCAGCCTCAGGGCGCTCGCTCCAAGAGGTGGTGGTGCAGCTGTAAGGCATCCTGAGACCCAGGCTCTAGAACCACCATGGTGTCCTTTCCCCCACATCCTGTTGGATGAGCTGGTCCCAGGAGCAGCCCAGATTCACGGGTGGGGGAGAGAGGAACCTGTTCACAGGAGCAGCTTCAGAGAACATGCCACCATATTGGATCTCTCACAATGTGCCCCATCCAGACATGCGGGAGTGAAGGCCTGTGTCCGCCTCTCCCTGATGATAGGGTCTCCTCATGCTAAGGCGGTGTCAGAGGTTTTATTTTATCATTTTATCATTCTATCATTCTATTCTATTCTATTCTATTCTATTCTATTCTATTCTATTCTATTCTATTCTATTCTATTCTACTAGGCTTCACGCCTAGTACAGAGCCCAACACAGGGCTTGAACTCACAACTCTGAGATCAAGAGGCAGACGCTTAACCAACTGAGCCACCCAGTTGCCCCTCAGAGGTTTTACATCAAAGGAACATGGGGAGCAGTCCAGTGGGAAGAGAGTCGGTTAGTGAACTCGTTTTCAAACTGATCACAAAACTAATTTTTCTATTATTGTGATATATGTACCCGCAGAAAAATACACTTGTCGGTGGACAGCTCTATGAGTTTTGATGAATGCGTGGTTGTATTACCACCACCAAATAACACCCCTTATAGTCAGCCTTCCGGTCCCAATGTCCCACAGCCGTAGGTCTGTTTTCTGTCCCCACAGGTTCACCTTTTCTAGAATGGCATATAAATAGAGTTGTGCAGTAGGTAGCCTTTTGAATCGGGCATCTTTAACTCAGCATAATACTTCTCAGAGTCTCTGATCTTATTGCATGAAATTGGTAGTCTGTTCCTTTTCACTGGCTGAATAATATTTCATTGTGTGGATGTACCAGAATTTATTTCCGCTCACCCAATGGACAACAATTGAGTTGTTTCTGGTTTTTGATGACTCTGAATGGAGCTACTATAAACATTCATGTACAGATTTTTATATGAATGTACATTTTCATTTTTCTAGAGTAAACACACAGAAGTACACTTGCCGAGCTGTATGGTGAGTGAGAGTTTAGCTTTATAAGAAACTGCCAAACCTTTCTCGTTTTACATTCCATTAGCAATGCGCGGGTGTGTCCCATGGTTCCTCGCCAGCACTTAATGTTATCAGCCTTTCTTTTTTTTTTTTTTTCTTTCTTCAGCCTTTCTTACTTTAGCCATTCCAAGAGGTATGCAGTGGCATCTCATTTGGTTGGAATTTGCTTATTTTCATAAACGCTGGTGCTGACCATCTTTTCATGGGCTAATTTCCATTTGCATATCTTCTTTTGTACCTTTTTTGAATGGGTTCCTTTTTTTTTTTTTTTTTATCATTGATGAGGTTTGAGGGTCCTTTATAAATTCTAGATGCTAAGTCTTTCCCAGATACGGGTTTCACAAGAGTCTCTCCCAGTCTTTAGCTTGCCCTTTTCACTTTCTGAACCATACCTTTCACAGAACACAATTTTAAAATGAAATCTAAGTCATCAATACTTTTCTTTCATAGATAGCACCTTTGATGTGGTATCCAAGAAATCTTTGCCTAGCCTGTGGTCAGAGAGCTGTTCTCCTGGGCTATCTTCTAGAAGTTTTGTAGTTTTGAGCTGTGCATATAGGTCTGTGACCCATTTTGAGATTTGGGAGAGGATGTATAAAATGGGGGATAGGGGTTGAGATTCATTTTTTTTCTGTGAAAGGGCATTCGGTTGTTCTCACATCACATATTAAGAAAATAGTCACCAAGCAAATTTGCTGGGATCGTGTGTCGGGGTAGTTGGAGGCTGGGTAATGGACATGACCGATGGGCAGGCCTCGCGAGCCCCCATGCCGCCACCTGGGCACCAGGCCTTGGAGTCCCAGCTTCCTGTGGGCCGTGGGCCATCGGCCCGGTGCTGCCATGGACCTTGCGGGCCTCACGGGGTTACTGTTTAACATCTCGGGTGAAAATGAGCCTTTCCGGGACCCACTGAGGGTCTGAGTTGTTGCCCCAAGTAGGGGGGTGCGAACACAGCCTTTATTGTCGGCTCTGTGGGTGGGAGCCCCCACCCAGCAGCCGGCCTCTTGGATTCTTCGCTCCTGAGAAGCACCTGGTAAGACGTCCAAACACATCTCTGCAGGGCAGGGAGGGAGCAGGCCCGGCAGTCGTCAGAGCAGAGTCCAGAAGCGGAGGGTAGCACTTGCCACAGGCCCCGTGTGAGCAGGGAGGATGCAGCCGGGCACGTGAGGCCCGATGGTCCCTTGCGCACGGCCGTGCCTGTCTCCCCACAGCGGCAGGTGGATGGCTCTGCCCGCTCGGCTTGGCCCCGGCACAGCCACTCCACTCCTGGGATCTCCATGCCGAGGAAAGAACGCAACACGTGCACCAGGCTCAGTCCCACTGCTCTGTTTAGAAGGGCAGGGACCTGGCCACAGCCCAGTGTCTGAGCACCTATGAAGTGAGTGCTGTACGGCTGCTCAAGGGTGACATGAGTGGCGTGTTGTGGTCGGGGGAGGAAGGCAGGCTCTGGGGCAGCACCTACGCACGACGGAGGCAGTTTTGTAAATATCAGATGTTCACGGAAGCATGTATGTTTGATTCTTTACCTGAACACTTTTGGAACCTTCTGTAACCCGCCCTTAATCCCTGCAGCTGTAATGTCAGGGTTTTATTTTAATCAGGAGTCCTGCCCTCTTCTCCTCTGGGACCTTTTCCTGGGTTCACTGCCAAGGAGCGGGGAGCAGGGAGTGGGGGATGAGCAGGACTTCAGGGAAGGAGGGGCAGGGCTTCGGGCAGGCCTGTGCAGAGCCCACCCCGCACACTGCCCACCTCTGTCTGGGTGCCAGCAGTGGGGAGGGTTTCCGTAGCTCCGTCCACACCCCTGGCTCCCTACTATCCACACAGGCCCTTATCTGCAGGTGGCTCCTTGGAACCAGTGGGTTTTAAATTTGTGTTCTAGTCTTCATTAAAAGAAAACGTCAAGCGGAGGGCTGCCGTCTAAAACATACAATGGAGGCGCTCTATAAAAGGAGATGGTGGCCTAGGCTCTGTCTGTTGAGGACCCCTTGTCTCCCCTGGCTCTGCCATTGGTTCCTACAACAGAAGATGGAATCGGGTGTCTGGCAGAGGGGCTGGGACAGCTGAGCATTGAAGGAGACACTCAAGGGGTTTGGGACAGGAGCAATTTATCACTCAGGATGGAAGTATTTAAACTTTTTAATTGACAAGTCTGCATGTCATCCATGGATAAATGGATGAATGGACAGATGGATAAGTAGAAAGATAAAAAGGATATAAGGGTGGATGGATGGTTGGATAGGTAGATGGGTGGGTGGTTGGATGGACGGGTAGATGGGTGAGTGGGTGGGTGGATGATTGGATGGGTGGATAGTTGGGTGGATAGGTGGATAGTTGGGTGAGTGGATGGATGGGTGGTTGGATGGATGGGTAGATGGATGGGTGGGTGGATGAATGAATAGAAGAAAATGGATACATGACATATGGGTAAGGGGGAAGTGGAAAAGGTGGAAGAGAGTGAAGGCAGAAGGATGGAGGAGGAATGGGAATGTGGGAGGAGGGGTGGATGGAAAGGCAGAATGAAGGAAGGGAAGGGGTGTGTGTGCGTGCACGGAGGTCGGGTGGGCTCCAGAGGAAACCTCATCAGTGATGGGCGGGTCTTGGCTCTGGACACCCACAGGCAGCTTCCTGGTGCCCTACGTCATCATGCTTATTGTGGAGGGCATGCCCCTCCTGTACCTGGAGCTGGCAGTGGGGCAGCGCATGCGGCAGGGCAGCATCGGTGCCTGGAGGACCATCAGCCCCTACCTCGGTGGTGTTGGTAAGTGGGCGCTCTGCAGTCCTCACCTACCTGGAGAGTCCTCCTCCTGGATCCTGGGCCGCAGCGGGTGTGGGTAGGAGCCCGTTGGCAGCGCAGCCAGAGCAAGGGGCAAGTGCAGGGCCCAAGAGCGAGCCCAGGAGGGGGTGCCACAGAAAGTCAGCTGAGGAAGGGGGGGTGCACCCCCTCCGGGGAGCTGACACCACATTGCTTCTCCTCTGTCAGCCTCAGCTTGCTCTTCTGTAGAAGGAAGTGGCCGCCCAACCAAGGAGCCGTAACTCAGTGTCCCAGCAGCTTCCACTCAGAACTAACTGGTCCTTGCTAATGATCAATAATGGCTCCCTCTCGTGAGCACCTACTACGTGCTGGGTGCCCGCCTGTACGGTATATGCACACGGCACCTCTCAGCGGTGGTTAACCCACCCTGCACAACCCTCATGTTCCAGGGCGGCCTGTGGGCAGGAGGAACTTGGGCCAGCATTTGGCCCTGGTCTCTTCTGCTCAACGCTCCTGCCCCTGGACAGGCAGGGAAGCAGAGCGGTGTTTCAGGAGCAAGGAGGGTATACACTGGCATGGGATTTAGTCTTGAGGCACAAGAACGGTGTCCGTGGCCTCAAACATCATCTTGAAACCCAAACTGCCTCCTCATCTCGAAGGGCTGTTAATTTTTAACAAGGAGGTGTGTGGTTTTACAGTCTGCCCAAGTAATCAATCACAGAGGGCTTCTCTGAGGTGGCATTTGCTGCCTAATAGGAAAGATACCAGATGTTTGTGCCAAGCAGCAGCGCTGGTGAATGTTTAACAGCCAGCTCAGGGGTGGGTGGGGGTAGGGGAGGCCTGTGTGCAGCATTCCCTGATGCCCGAGGTGTAAATACTTCTGCCACAACCAATTGCAGACTACCCACGAGATGTCCCAGAGGGTGGGGATGGGCAGAGGTGCCCACGGTGTGGGCTGGCCAGGTCGGGGCAGACCTGTCCCTCCACTGGGGACACTCTTCCTCAGAGCCCTGTTCCTGGCCACCACAAGGCAGGGTTTGGCACAAGTGACTCACATCAGGTAAGCCACAGGGGGAGCACCTGTGACGTCTAGCATCAGAGTGGCACTTGGCAGTGGCAGCCTAAGTTCTTTTATTTTTTTTAATGTTTTTTATCATTTATTTTTGAGAGAGAGACAGAGTGTGAGCAGGGGAGGGGCAGAAAGAGAGGGAGAACAGGATCTGAAGCAGCTCTGAGCTGTCAGCACGAGCCTGACGCGGGGCTCGAACTCACGAGCTGTGAGATCATGACCTGAGCCGAGGTTGGCGCTCAACCGACTGAGCCCCCCAGACGCCCCGACTCACGCTAAGTTCGAATCCAACTTCGCCACTTGACGGCTGGGTGAGCTTGGGCAGTGTCTGTGCCTCGATGTTCCCTCCCGTGAAGTGGAGGTGATAATGCCCCCCTGACAACATAGCTGGGAAGGTGTAAAGCACAAAGGATGCTTAGCACAGCACCTGGCACTTAGGTCTCAAAAAAATGGCATCAGCCTCCCGTCCGCAAAGCCTGGGAGTGAGTTTGCGGGAACAGACTATCCCTTCCAAGGTGCTCGCAGGTGCCTGGACGTGGCTGCCCTTCTCACACACCTGAGAAGGAGAGTCTGCTCTCCTGGGGCTGTCACAAGGCATGTCCCGCGGGGGGGAGTGGGGGGCTCGCGTACAGGACGGGACCGGGCAGGTGGACCCGGGGGGTCCTCAGCGCCCCTCTCCCCCTCACAGGCCTTGCCAGCGTGGTGGTGTCTTTCTTCCTGTCCACGTACTACAACATCATCAACGCCTGGGCCTTCTGGTACCTTTTCCACTCCTTTCAGGTGAGCGAGAGCAGCTGGGCGGGGGGGGGGGGGGGGGGGGGGGGGGGGGGGGGGGGGGGGGGGGGGGGGGGGGGGGGGGGGGGGGGGGGGGGGGGCGGGGAGGGGCCACGCCCCCTGCGGGGTGCAGACCCCCTGCGGCAACTGGAGGGCTCCTGAGCCTGGCACCGCAGGACCCTGCTACTGTGTGTGTGCGTGCTTCCGGGGGGCAGGTTTCTGGCTTACGTCACGCACTCTCTGAAAGATGTGACCCCCTAAAATATTAAGCACCACCAGATGCTCCAGGGGAGAATGTGTGGAGAGAGCCCCCAACCCAGTAAGACAGCAGGAGGGCTCCCCCTCCCCCTCCCAGCTCTCGCAGCCTCCTGACTCCAGGCGGAGCCCCTGCGTTTCCCTGCAGACCAAAGGTCTTCTGGAATGACCATTGGCATCCCTGTAGCACAGTAGGGCCTACTCCCAGAGATAAACATTTTAAACATGTACTTCTGATTTACAGCCATAGCTGACGCTCATGGCAGAATATGGGAAGGGACTGCCCTCCGTAACAGCCTTCTCCATCTCAGGCAGAAGCTTCCCCCCCCACCGCCCCCTGGGCAGGTGCCACACCCTTTGCCACTAAACCCGACCTTTACAGGACAGACACTATCCCCAAGATCCAAAAGCAAGACAGGGCTGGCCAGGGACTGTGGAATAGCCCCAACTTGTGGGGGCCACTCTCTGGAGCACTTGGGCACAGCCTTGAGTCTTGGGCGCCCCAAGGAATGCCTGGGTGAATGACGTCAGTCATCAGAACGTGGCATCTACACTCAGAAGATGCTACCGTTCTAACAAAATCAGGATTATTTGACCATCTTCCCAAGGTGAAAATAAGGTGGTCTCAAGAAATGAGACCCGTTTTCCTAACTCTCAAGTGTGAGGACCAGCAATTCCTGAAAATCATTCGACCATCCATTCTTTCTGTCCTTCCCAGGCCCCACAGGCTTCTCCTTTAGTCTCCCCCACACCCCACCCCCCGGAGCTCTCCTCCGTGGTCACGTATGAACTGTCACCACAGCCCTGTGATGTGGGTGCCCCGGAGGCGGAGGGGAGCTGAGTAGCTGTGAGACTGGATGCCAGCAGCCTGGCCCCAGGGGCTGAAGCCTGTCCACTCCCCTCCCCCCCATTAGGCTTCCCAGCCTCCTGTCTAGGACTGTCTAGGACCTTCCCCAGAAGGACCACAGGAGGGGCGGGGGGGGGGGGGGGGGGGGCTATTAGAAAAGCAGATGCAAAATGCGAGCCCAACCCACTGATTTGGAGGAGGGAGGCCGGCTGCTGGGGAACGGTCAGTTTAGTAAGTCCTTGCGTGTGCTAAGGTCCCTCCATCCTGGCTGTGCACCAGAACCCTCCCGCCGGGGAGCTTTCAAAACTCAGATGCTATGGGCCCCACCCAGACCGATGAAATCGGAGCCACTGCGGGTGCAGCCTGGGTACAATATTGTTTCTAAAGCCTCCTTACCCTCTGGGATGTAGTCATGTACCACGGCTGGGAAGCAGGCCAGGCCGGGCTGGCTCCGCAATGGTCCAGTGGACCGGCCAGTCTGTGCCGCACAGCAAAATGGCCGCAGGGGCCGTGGACTGAGTAGCTCCCCAGGGCTCCGAGTCCACGAGGGACCCTCCCACCTGCCAGGCCGTGGTGCTGGTCACTGTGGAGCATCTCAGTTGGCTCCACACGGCCATTCTCTCCATGAGTCTTCATCACTCAGCAGTGTGGCCGAAGGTCTTTTACACATCAGCTGGTTCCCAGTCTGACAACAAGGGCAACGAGGCCCCAGGAAGCCCAGGCTGGGAAGGGCCATTGTGTCACGTCACTGCATTCTGTTGGTCGGAGCAGGTCACGGGCCGGCCCAGGTTCACGGGGAGGGACAGCAGATGCCACCTTCCCGTGGAAGGAACCATTGGGTGCCATCTTTGGAACTATTCAGGGTCAAAGCTAGAAACTGACTTGAATTTCAACAGGCCAAGGACCCCCCGACCCTGCACAGGTCACAAGTGTTTTCTAGGGGGACAAAGCAGGGCCCCAGCTACTCACCAGCAGAGTGGCCCTGGCCCACCGGGTGACATCTGTTTCCTCTGAAACGCACAGATGGAGCCCAGCGGCCCCGGACGTGCTTCAGTCAGTGGAGAACTTATGTCTAATGCCATCTGAACTTGCAGGATCCGGATACAAGCAAAAATGATTGACGTGGGGCTTGGCAGAGTGGAGGTGGGACTCCTACCCTTCCTCCTTCCCCCTCCCCAGAGCCAAAATTAAATCCACCGCCTGCCCCTTCCTGCCACCTCTATCCTGTTCACTGTGCACGCATGTTTAGGCTCTTTTGTTCCTAAGTGACAGAGAAGCCAGTTCAAACTGGCTGAAGCAGAAGAGGCTCTTACTGACTCTGCAACGTGCAGGAGGGGAACTGCTTCAGGCATAGCTTGACTCAGGTGCCAATGAAGTCAGCAGTGCCAGATTCTCTCTGTTGTAGGCACACAAGATGCCTGCAGGGAGGCTGAACCTCACTCCTGCCTAACTTCTAAACCCGGGGTCTGTTGTGGGAGATGCATGTCTCCACCACCAGTGAGGGCAGGACCTGAGTCTCATTCAAGCCAGGACTTACTAGGAATGTGCAAAATTAAGCCACGTCCCCCCAAATGAGAACAGATTGAGGCGATTTATCCAGAGCTTGCGATCGCTTGACTTTGGCAGAGAGCCCAGGGCGGGCAGAGGAATGGAGACAGTGTGTCGGAGTCAGTGGGGGTAAAAGGCAAGGCTTCAGGTGTGCCCGGATTGGAAGGCGTGGGGGACTGTGAGGGCTATCTGGGCGACGGGGGGAGCAGATCTGGCTTCCTCCGGTTCGTCTGGGGTTGGGAAGCACACAAGCTAGGGAAACTGGCTGTCCCCGCCCAGGTCCTGCCCACCCCACTCCAGGCCACTTACTGCAAGATGCTGTGGCCGGAGTCGGTGGGCCCATCGCTGGCAGAGGTGTGGATTCTATTGTCCTATTGTCGTAGACGGCCTGGCCATTGTCCGTTTGGCCCAGCCTCTAGGACCCATGGTCAAGCCAGGAAATCCTCAACAAACACCTGGGGGATTGCACGGTGCGTGAAGCCCTCTCCCTGCCTCTCCCCTACCCCCAAGCCCATCTGTGCCCCTGACCGACCCTCCTGGTCCCTGTCTGCCTGCAGGTGCTCCTGTCCTTTGGGGACCGCCACCTCTCTCCCCCGAGCGGCCTATCAGGAACATTCCCATCCTTCCCCGCCCTGCCCTTCGGCCCCAGCCCTCACCTGCCTGCTTGTTCTGCTCCTGAAGGATCCCCTGCCCTGGTCCGTGTGCCCGCTGAACGGCAACCGCACGGGCTACGACGAGGAGTGCGAGAAGGCGTCCTCGACGCAGTACTTCTGGTACCGGAAGACCCTCAACATCGCGCCATCCATCCAGGACAGCGGGGGCATGCAGTGGGAGCAGGCGCTCTGCCTCATCCTGGCCTGGCTCGTGGTGTACCTGTGTATCCTGCGGGGCACCGAGTCCACCGGCAAGGTGAGTCGGCATAGGCTCCCGCCTGGGTGTGGAAGCCACGCGGGGAGGAGGGCACAGATGGTGTCACTGGCACGAACCCCCTGCGAGGTGACCGTGAACGTGGCTGGTGGCACTTGAAGTTGCAGTCTTGAACTGAGGGCGTTCCCAGTCCCTACGCAGATGAGCAATTCTGTGCCAGGCAGCCGGCGCCAAGCCACACCACCCACGAGGCACTGAGCTCCTAGACAGGGGGTCTTCCCTTCTTTAAAAGCCTTAAGTGACGGTAGATGTCCCCCAGACACCCTGGCCGCTGGCTCTCAAACTTGACTGCACGTTAGTGTCCCTGGAGAGGACACTAACTTCTAGAACTCTGCTGTCTCAAGTCCTCCCCCGAGAGCCCTGGGGTGCTCAGTGCGGGCAGAGACCTGAGCCTGGGATGTTAAAAGCCCCCCTCCCAGGGGTTCCTAATCCGCAGCAGAGTCTGAGAACCTGTGCTCTCAGCTGCTGTCAGGCCTTGGCTCCTTGGTGTGCCCCCGGGTTTATACTCCTGCAGGGGGCTGAGATGCTCTTGAACTCTAATCTGCCCCAGGTAGGAAGCCTTTCCTGCAGGGTTTCCAGCACTTGCCACCTTTCTCAAGCTGCAGCAGACGCCCTGGACCCCCGGTGACCCCCGCCTCATGCTCAGTCCCTCCTCCTGGCTGGTCGCCTGCGGGTCGGGTGTGTACCTTCCCTCAGTCTCGCAAGAGCCCTTCAGAGTGGATTTCGTTGTCCCACTCACCTGAGCGTGGAGGGGCGAAGGAGCCCACCCGGGGGCACCAGCCAGGGAGGGCAGAGCCCGGTCAGACCCAGCACGGCCACTAAGACTCCCCAGCATCTTGGTCTAGTGAGCCACCTCCCGTTTGCTCTCGCCATACCTTTTGTGACTCAGTCCATCCCAACTTTCCCCTGCAGAAGCCCCTACGAGCCACCTGCCCTCACCCTTTGACCACCTGAGTCGCCTCCTCCGGCCCCACCGTGTTTCTCTTGAGGCAGCAGGACCAGTATGACCCATAGTATCTTAGGTGCCCTGGAACGAGCCCAGTAACGTGCCTGGTTTTTTCTGTTGGTTTCCAAGCCTCAGTGACGGCTGGCATCGTAGCCCCAACGGCGCCCCAGCCCATGGCCAAGCTGATGGACTAGTGCGCCTTCTCCGGAAGAACTTAGAGCTTGTACAGCTACTCACTCTGTCCCATCTTGGAACTTGGCCAATATTTTATGCTCATAAAAACACGGTTTTTGCAGTTTGTCTTTACCAGGTGATTACGAACGTGCTACAAAAGGTCCGAGGGCAGTCTCCGTCAACTCTTTTCTAGATCATTTATACGTATGCTCTATGAGGTCACGCCACGCCATCCAACACTTATTCTGTTTCCTCTGCCCGAGCCACACGCCCTCTCCATGACAGAGTGACCCCACAGCTTTATTTGTGGGGATTAAGTCTGTTAAAAACCGTGTAACTTTTCCTGGCCTCTCCTCTTGGGATCTCCTCTGGTCAGAAATGGCTTCTCCCGGTGGTGTAGGCGGGAGCACACACCAAGCTTCCCTGATGAGGGAGGGGGGAGCCCAGAGGGCACCCCAGGACCCTTGTTTACCTGACGGGAAGGAGGGAAATTCCAGAGACTTGCCCTCCGTGTCCCCTGAGTGTCCACTGGCTATGGACATAGGTCACCCCTCCCCTGTTGCCCTTGATGTCCTCAGCTCTCTGACCGATGTCCTCGTTGGCCTTATCTGTCTCCATCTCGCACCTGTCATTCAGCCAGATTGATGACTCTTCTCCAGTTACAATGACCTCAGTGAAGAATCCATGATAAAAGACACACCCCACCTCTGCCTGCTGTCCCCCGGGTGAGAGGGCACCAACCGCTCCTCTGGTGGCCTTGGGAGTGGACAGGAAGAAGGCACCACGCCTCAGCGGGAGGGCAGGGCTGCTGAGCCCGATCCAAGCCCATGTGGGTGTGGGCCTCCAGCCGCGCTTCCCACAGGAGGACCCACACTTTAAGCGAACCGCTGTCGCAAAATTCTTTTTGCGAAGTATCTCTGGACTGTACGTAAAGAGGCTCTGGCGCCTACGCGGTGGATTCGGAGAGGAAGCGCCAGTTCCTGGGCTGTTGCCAAAGCCACCACGAAAACCAATGGACTTGTGATACAGGTCATGTCAGCAGGAAAAAGACTGGGTGACCAAAAATGCCATTCATGTCTGGTGTTAAACCCCGTGAGAGTGAAGCCATTTGTAAAAAAAAAAAAAAAAAAAAATAGGTCATCGAATTTCTGTCCTGTTCCTTAGAGGGACATGCTCCCTCTGCCAATATCATCACGCTTCCTTCATGAGCCCTCGTGGCCATGTCCCTCTTGGGTCTCCGCTCTGAAGACACACACCCCTGCTCCAAGGCCCTGGGCTTTTGGGATTTATTTTTCGTTTTGAAGATAATATAAATCAGAGGCACCTGGGTGGCTCAGTTGGTTGAGCCTCTGACTTTGACTCGGGTCATGATCTCCTGGTTTGTGAGTTTGAGCCCTGCATCCAGCTCTGTTCAGAGCCTGGAGTCTGCTTCGGATTCTGTGTCTCCCTCCCTCTCTGACCCTCCTCCACTTGTGCCCTGTTTCTCTCTCAAAAATAAAAACATGTAAAAAAAATTTTAAAGACCATATAAATCAGGTAAGTGCTTTGCTTAGGCCACAAGGAAGCTCGGGGAGGGGTCTGGCTGTCAAACAGGCTAGAGCTCACACACGTGCACTGTGGGCGGCCTTTTTGTTGGGGCTCATCCCGCTGGATTGCTCACGCTTTCTTCCTACACTGATTTCTTCACCTAGCAGTTGAAAAAATCGGGGCACCTGGGTGGCTCAGTCAGGTAAGTGTCCAGCTCTGGATTTCAGCCCAGGTCATGATCTCACAGGTCGTGAGATCAAGCTCTGAGTCGAGCTCTATGCTGACAGTGTGGAGCCTGCTTGGCACTCTCTCCCTCTGTCTGCCCCTCCCCTTGCACTCACTCTCTCTCTCTCAAAATAAATAAGTAAACTTAAAAAACATTTAACAGTTTTTTTAGTGTTAATGTTCTAGGTATATTTTTGTGGGCTGCCTCAAATCCTTTCTTGTTTTAATTTTTTATGTTTGAGAGAGAGACAGAGCACAAGTCGGGGAGGGGCAGAGAGAGGGAGACACCAAATCCGAAGCAGACTCCAGGCTGTCAGCACAGAGCCTGACATGGGGCTTGAACTCGTGAACTGCAAGATCATGACCTGAGCCAAGGTCAGACGTTTAACCGACTGAGCCACCCAGGCACCCCAAATCCTTTCTGGAATAAGGTCCTATTGAAGGGAGAGTAGAAGGCAGAGGTCTCCGGTTTCTCCTGAAACATATTTCCCAGAAGTTATGGAGATGGGCAAATGCAAGCCACCGCCCCATTCCACCACCACCGCCCCCCCCCACCAGCCAAAACTCACTGCATTGCTGCGTTTTCAGCTGTGAGCAGCCTGAATCTCCAAGATACTGTGGTGCTTTGTGAGGACTGCGGGTCTGTCCCAGGGACAAAAGGGGCCCCGTTGTTCCCCGTGTCTCCAGGATGCTGACTCTGTCCCTGGCGCCTGCAGGTGGTGTACTTCACGGCGCTGCTGCCTTACTGTGTGCTCATCATCTACCTGGTCAGGGGCCTCACGCTCCACGGAGCCACCAACGGCCTGGCATACATGTTCACGCCCAAGGTACAGGCTGGAGGGAAGGGGACCTGCGATCTTCCAGGATGGGTAGAAAGGGGAGGACCCAAGGAGGTGGGTGGGAGCCCACCAGGCTGTGGGAGTGGTGTGGATGACCTGTGGGCACTGGGTCACTTCCTCCGCCAGGCTGTCCCCAAGCTCTGTTCATTTAGGGACACTGAGTCTTTGGTCCATACATCCTCCTTATTCTCAGTTCCCCCCGCCAAGTGAGTGCTACCCCAGCCCCACATCTGGCCCCCACTCTCACCCCACACCCTTCTGGCCGTCTATGGATACGCTATCCAGCCACCTCTCTCCCTCCTGCACCTCCCCGCACCCCTTCCCGTACAGAGGTGAATCCACATTCCACAGGGTATTCTGTGGTCCCTCCCCAGCCCCCCCCCCCCGCTGACACCCCACAGTCAATGCTCATTGGTCAGCAGATGGTGTGGAGGTGGGGGGGCGCTATTGCCTTTAGCAAACCTGGTGTCTAGAAACAAAATGGCCATGGCAGCGCGCCCCCCCCCACCCCGGAGGTGCCTCCCACATTTCAGATGGCCCCCAGCGTCATCCCAGGCCTAGAGCTCCAGTCCCAGGCCACACCACCTCCCCCCCTCCCCCCCATAGTGCCTGATCATGGACCAGGGGCTGCCCCTCCCTGGGCCTCCAGTCAGAGGGTTGCAGGGGTGGGAGAGCCACTGGGCCGGGTCCAGCGGCCCCAACCCTGCCGGCTTTGCAGCTGGAGCAGCTGGCCAACCCCAAGGCCTGGATCAACGCAGCCACGCAGATCTTCTTCTCCCTCGGCCTGGGCTTTGGCAGCCTGATCGCCTTCGCCAGCTACAACCAGCCCTCCACCAACTGCCAGAAACACGCCATCATCGTGTCCCTCATCAACAGCTCGACCTCCATCTTTGCCAGCATCGTGACTTTCTCCATCTACGGCTTCAAGGCCACCTTCAACTACGAGAGCTGCTTGAACAAGTAAGCCGCCCAGGCCACCCCAGGAGCCCAGGGGTCTTGGGTTGGGGGCATGTCCCCCAAACTCCCAGGGCCACCTGGGAAGAGGTGCATGCCAGGAGGTCACGGGGTGTGGGGCAAAGGGCACTGGCTTTGTGGCTTTCCATCTGGGGCCCAACCCTGGGCACCCCACCTGAGGGCTGAGGGCGGTTTCACATGTCCAGAGCTCTTAGCACAGGAGCGCACTGAACAGACAAACCTTAGTTTCTTCCGCCCCACCTCCCTGACCTTGGAAGTAACCCAGAGCCCTCTGCGTGAGCCACGGCAATTAGAGAATCTGCCCCCGCCTTCTCCAACATACAGTAAACGTCATCCAGACGAGGCTGTCCCGCACGGCAGTCACTCATGCCAAGTGGGCACTTTCACAGGTTTAAATTCGTATTGGCTTACATGAATTAATTACATTTTAATTAAGCAGTTGCAATTTTAGTTACGTTAAACCAGTTAATTACATTTTTCTTTAAATTGGTTTCCATTTACATGTGAATTAATTTAAGTCATCTTCTCACTTATACTCCCCACATTCAAGGGCTCAGCTCCTACGGGGGACAGCATAGATTGGGAACATTCCCATCACCATAAAATTTCTGTCGGACAATGCTGGCCCAGAGGTTAAAATGGCCTAGTTCTGTGGGTTGGTTTCTCATCTCTGGTCCTATTTGAGACTCCGTCAAAGCCATTCAAAATCACCTTGAACTTTAAAAGGTCAACAACCGGGGTGTCTGGGTGACTCAGTTAAGCATCCGACTCTCGGTGACAGCTCATGGTTTGTGGGATTGAGCCCTGCGTCAGGATCTCTGCTGACAGCAACAGAGCCTGCTTGGGACTCACTCTCTCTCTCTGCCCCTCCCCCACTCACTTGCTCTCTCTCAAAATAAACTTTTTAAAAACTAAAAAATTTTTGTAAAAAACCACCAATCAACAGATTCCCCTTTGTTGGAGAGAGTGTGCCCAATCCCAGGGGAGGGAACCCCAGCAGCCAGGCTTCCAAGAGAGGGTTTGGTGACAGTGGCCTTTCTGTTCGGTGAAGGTCAACCTGGTGCTCTGCTCTGCAGGGTGATTCTACTGCTGACCAATTCTTTTGACCTTGAAGATGGCTTTCTGACAGCCAGCAACCTGGAGCAGGTGAAGGGCTACCTAGCGTCCGCCTTCCCCGGCAAATACAGCGAGGTGCTCCCACAAATGAAAAACTGCAGCTTGGAATCCGAGCTGGCCACGGTAAGACCCGGGCAAGATGGTGGCCGCTTCTGTCCTCTGAGGGCTGCCCACAGCGAAGGGCAAGCCAGGGAAGCTTCTCCAGTCCGCCTTAGGGTCAGGCCTGTACGTTACCTCCCGGATGCCGTCCATTCCATTCAGCGGCCACTCCTCGGCAAATGACGAGGATGGTTGGGGGGACCTGCTGGTTCTTACCCAGCGAGAGGCCTTCGTTACTACCTCTCCTCTTCCTGAGCCCACGTGTGGGGCCATATTTCAGGATCTGGGGCCGAGAGTTTCTGTCATCTTCATGCTGGGAGCACATGCAGTCTTTCTTAAGACATGGCTAGCACCGTCTGGTTCCTCAACCAAAGATGTAGATAAATAGCTTAAAGCACAACAGCTTGTCATGAGGCCCCCCAGAGCTACTTCCTATGGCTCATGAGCCTGAAAGGCCAATCCCCTCCGCACTTGTATTTGGTGGCTTGTCCCCTGGCACCCACTTCCCGGAGGACATTGGCCCTGGTTCTGGAATCCAGCTTCCATCACTATTGTTTATCAGGTCATTTCACGGATGAGGCGACACTTTGTCTCTCCCAGCTCCCTGCTCATGCTGGCCTATGGCCTGACCCCTCCCTGGGCAGCCGTCGCCGCAGTCCAAGCCCTCAACCCCGGCCTTCAAGGCCTTGATCTATTCCGATGGGCTCCAGCTCCCACTCGGTGAACTCATTTCAAATTTCCTTTCTCTTTTTGGGGTTTTATGACTGATTTTTAAGCTTGGCTCAGCGTTCAAGAATTATGTGGTTATTCATTCATTCAAACTGGTTTTTTCCATTGTGTTTGTTCTTGAACAAAGAGTCTGGAATGGACACAGCATTATTTCTCCTCTCAAATTTACCTATCTGTATTTAACTTAACAAAATCTAAAGTTCAGCAGTGTCTTGACTTCCTGCCCAAAGAGAACAAGGACTTTAGAACACTTTCATCTCGTCCACCTAATTTTATTTATTTTTTATAAAGTACTTCTTAAATGTTTACTTATTTTGAGAGACCGTGAGTGAGCAGGGGAGGGGCATAGAGAGAGAGGGACAGAAAATCCCAAGCAGGCTCTGCACTGTCCGCACAGAGCCAGGAGATGATCACCTGTGTCGAAATCAAGAAACGCTTAACTGACTGAGCCACCCAGGTGCTCAAAATTTTGAGCACCACAAAAATTTTTATCATCCACAAAGTTTTAAATACCATTTGTGTCCAATTCTGTCTTTTTAAACCCGTAAGTCAGATGGTACTGTTTTATACCACAGTGTTTGTATCTACCCACATGCCATTTTATCTCTTCACCAATTTTTCTTGCGCCTCACCTATCTTCTGGGATTTTCTTCTTCCCTTAAAGTGCATTCTTTTAGGGGCATTTGAGTGGCTCAGTCAGTTAGGCGTCTGACTTTGGCTCAGGTCAGGAGCTGAAGCCAATCAGAGCTTCCTTGGGATTCTCTCTTCCTCTTTCTCTGCCCCTCCCTGCTCACGCGTGCGCGCTCACAGGTGCGCGCTCTCGCTCTCTCTCAAAATACATAAACTTTTTAAAAAATGCATTCCTTTATAGTTTTTTCTTTTAATTTTATCTTAGCATAATTAATATACAGTGTTCTATTAGTTCCAGGTGTACAGTAAGTTTCTTAATGATAAATTTCCTCAGGCTTTGTTTGTATGCAAATGTCTATATTCAGTCTCCTCTTTTTAGAGGCAGTTTCCCCTGTGTAGAAAATCCCAGGTGTACAGCTCTTCTCTCTCAACGCATTGGAGATCTTTGCCTTGTGATTCTGGCTTCCACTGTCCCTCTTAAAATGCCCTGTCCTTCTTCAAAGCACCTGGCTTCCTGGTGCTTTCACTCCAATTTCTCTGTCATCTTCTCTTGGTCTCTGGCCTCTACGATCTAAGCGTGGGTGTATTTTTATTTATCCAACGCGGGCTTGGGTGACGTTGGGCTTCCTGGATCCACGGACCCGTGTGTCTTACCAGTTCTAGAACATTTATACCTATGTCCTTGTAAGCCTCTTCTTGATTTCTGCCTCTCTTCTCCGTTCCGAATTCCAGCGAGACCTTCTTGTCATCCCGCCCTGCATGTCCGCGCTCTTTGATGTTTTCTCACCTTATCTTTTTTTCTTCATTATGGATTCCTCCCTGGGATAGACTTCCCGGTCCACTAATTCTCTCTTCAGGTGCAAGCGGTACTTAGCTGTCAGTGGAGTCTTTTCATTCAATGCGTTTTCAGATACTATTTATTGTGAAATTTGCTTTTCATTCCAGAGGTTGCTTGTTATATATTTATCTTGGTCATTTTATCTTTTGTTTCCTTAAAAATGTCATATGTAGGGACACCTGGGTGGCTCAGTCAGTTGAGCGTCTGACTCTTGATTTCAGCTCAGGTCACAACCTCAGTTTGTGGGATGGAGCCCTATACTGAGCTCTGGGCTGACAGTGTGGAGCCTGTTTGGGATTCTCTCTCACTCTTTCTCTCCTCTTTCCCTGATCTCCCACTCTCTCAAAAAAAAAAAAAAAATTCATACATAGCTGTTCCACTGGTGGCCTTGGACAGGAGAGTGAAGGCAGTCTGCCCTCAAGGGGAGGAATGTTTTGTCACTGTTGGGAATTTGTTGGCTCATAATAATGATAAGCTAAGTTCAGTAGGTGTCGTTCCTGTTTGTAAACCTCTACGAGGGATCACCCCCTCTTGTCTGCACCCAGAGCTGGAGAGTCCCACTGGGCTCACTGGTTTGCCATTGAGCTGACCTGTGTTCTCAATCTGCTGACCCAGCGCCTGCCATTCTTGGGGAAGGGCGTTCTAAACCTTAGTCCTGCTGACTCTTTACTTAGGGTGGCTCGTCTTACAAATCCGTTTGCAAGCTCGCGGCTTGATCATCTCTGGTGGTCCTGCAAGTCTAAAGTGGGGGAGCTGTCCCCCAGAGAGGGTTTGCTTCTGCTGCTGGGAACCAGGGGCACCCCCAGCTCATGACCTCTTTCGACCCCTTCTGGGGGGCTGTCTGTAGGCAGGGAGTTCTAGGCTCCATCTGCGCGGTGCGGTACCCCCACAATAGTGCTGCCACTGCTGGGATCTGGCCACTGAGCAACTGGCCTCTAGGCTGCCTGCTGGCCAGGCCAGCTCCCCACCTTACAGGCTCCTCTTGCTCTGGGTCCCCCTCCCACCCCAGCTCCCAGCCACCACAGCCTCGGGGCACCTGGTCAGTCATGATACCGGGAGCAGAAGTTATCCAAACATCGTCTTTATTGTAATTCATCCTGAATGGATGTGCAGGAACTTGGCTCCAAGATGACTGAAACATCTCACACTTTGCAAATACAGACTCCCGACAGCTCACGTTTCTCTCCAGCCCAGCTAAGCCTGGGGGGCTGGTCTGCAGATCGAAAACCCAACCTCAGAATGTGGCTTCTCATAGCCAGCCCCCCGCCCCCCTCCCCCCAGGAGGCGTACGTCCGCTGGGCTAACTGGTGTCTTCTCACGTGGGCAGGCAGTCCAGGGCACTGGCCTGTCCTTCATTGTCTACACGGAGGCCATTAAAAACATGGCGGCCTCCCAGCTGTGGTCGGTGCTCTACTTCTTCATGTTGCTGATGCTGGGCATCGGGAGCATGCTGGGGAACACAGCAGCCATCCTCACGCCCCTGACTGACAGCAAGCTCATCTCCAGCCACCTGCCCAAGGAGGCCATCTCCGGTGAGTGGGCCAATCCTTGGAGGACGTGGAGGTCGGGGCGTGGGGCGCAAGCAGATGGACGAGCTGCCACGGGGACCACGTGCTTGTCGAGGTGGCTCCCCCCTCCTCTCGGGCAGCGGGGACCCAGTACGGGTGGGTCTGGCCCACGCATCTGGCTCTTAGTCATGGGGACGTGCAGTGGCCGCCTCAGCGCTGGGCAGGGCCAGACTCACCAACCTGGTGCTCAGAACTCTCCAGGCCCAGGGAGAACCTGCCTGTGTCTTCATTTTCACTGCAGTGCTAGCAGTTAGAATATGTATATTTCTTAAACACAAACTTAATGACTTTTACGTGTTTCCACTCAAGTAACCACCACCTAGGCCAAGACACAGAGCATTTCCAGCACCCCTGAGAGCCCCTTCCGACCTCTTCCCACCATCATGTCCCCAACAGCCTCCCCCAGGGGCCTCCCCTCTCTGCTCCCATTTTAGGTCTTTCCTGTTCTTGAACTTCATATAAATGAAGTCACCCTGGCCTGTGCACTGTCTCCTGTCTTCACCAAACTCTGTGCGGTCCACCCCGCTGCTGTGAGTGGTCTGTCCCTTTCCCACCTGTGTGAAAGACCGTCCTCTGGGCCCCCCACAGCTTGTCTTCCCGTTCTGCTGCCTGGGGGCATTTGGATTGTCAGAGAAGGAACCTGGTTTTCTAATCAGCCCTCTCCCTGCTTCGCTCCACCACCCATGTGCTGCATCCTGCCCTGTCCGTCCCGCGCCCCCCCCCCCCCCCCCCCCCCCCCCCCCCCCCCCCCCCCCCCCCCCCCCCCCCCCCCCCCCCCCCCCGGCCGATGGTGGCATCTCGCCACATCCGGGACATCCTGTCTCCCAGCCCGAATCCAAGCCAGCTCCCATCCCATCCCCTGACCACCAGGCAGAGCTGCCCACCCTTTGTCAGAAGCTTCTAGCACATAGCATCTCCCCTTGCACCTGGTCTCTGGAGCAGCAGCCTGTGTGCCGGGGGCTCCTGGCCAGCACGCGGCCCCTTCTCATGTGTCCCCTCAAGCTGGCACTAGGCTGGGTGACTGGTGGCACATGGTATGGAAGGGCAGGAGGGAGGTGGGAGCTTGAGCGTTAAATACTTCGTGGAGGGCCTGAGGGAGCCAGCCGGAGGAGACTGGGACCAGAACCCCGAGTCCTGGAGGCAGAAGGGCCAGGGTCTGAGCCCGGACTCCACCACGTACGTGCTGTGGGATGTTGGGAAAGTTACTCCCTATCTCTGAGCCCTTGGCTTCCCCATCTGTAAAAGGGACTCCTGAGGCCTATAGATCTGATGCCTGACAGGTGCCTGGGGCGTACGTAGTGGGAGCTGGGCAAGCATCCTGTCTTCCCCTCCTCTCCCTCCTCCCGCCACACGGGAGTCCTCTCTAGGATGTCCTGACTGGGATGGCCCTCAGCGCAAACCCACTGCCCCGACTCCCCTCCTGTGAGTTCAGAGGCTGAGTTGTTGGGATAAACAGCATCACCAAACCCACAGGCTGGGTGGGAACCCCCCCACCCCGAGCCAGCAGTACCCACAACTTTCCCTTTTCCACTGAGCTTCACCCCCACGCCCCCACAGGACAGCCCCCTGAATTAATATCAGTGACTTCTGACACATACATTCCCCGGGACACCTTTGCTGTCCACCCCCCACCCCCATGCCCAAACACATACCCATGGCGAACACATGCAGAAAGGCCAGTCCCGGGCAGAGTAACAGTGGCGCCCGTGGCTCTGTGGCCACGCAGGGAACCGGATGAACGGGGGGCATGGCAGGCAGGTGAGCGTGCGCTCCTGTGCCCCAGGTCTGGTGTGCCTCGTCAACTGCGCCATCGGCCTGGTGTTCACCACGGAGGCTGGCAACTACTGGTTCGACATCTTCAACGACTACGCCGCCACACTGCCCCTGCTGCTCATCGTCCTGGTGGAGATCATCGCCGTGTGTTACGTGTTCGGGCTCAGGAGGTGAGGAGGCCCTGCCCCCGACGCTTTTACACGGGAGGGGTCCACACTGCAATTTGGGAGGCGCCGCTCAGATGCGAGCCAACTAGAAGGGTGAGGCAAGTTGTGCCCCCGTCCAGTCTTGTCCCATCCTCCACATTGGCTTGGAGGGGGCTGGGGGTACCGAGCACCAGCCATGACATTCTAGAAACCAGACTCCTCGAGCCACATTTCCCACTGTGTCCCCAGAAGCACTGGGGTCCCGTGCCACGCTGAGGGACTTCCATGATCTAATGCTTTCAAGACATAACGAGTTAAACAGTAAAAATCTCTTTCCTCTAGGACTTCCTGTAGCCTAGAAGACAACTGTGAATCTCAAAGAGGGGGTATACGTTGTAGCATTGCCAAAACTGTTTTGGTCAGGAAGCCTTTTTTTTTTTTTTTTTAAGCCTCCCTCCCATTTGCCCCCTACTGGGGACATTTGAGTTAGAGTGACCCACTCTCCCTGTTTTCCCAGGGTCAGGGGCTTTCCTGGGATGTGGGACCGTTTGGGGCTGACACTGGGGAAGTCCTGGGGAGATTGGGACAAGCTGGTCACCTAGGAAATGCCAGTCTAGAGGGAGAAACAGATTGGTCACCTGAGAGGGTAGGTGTTTCCCAGGAAGGGAGGAGGTTAAGGAAAGAGGAACAGAGCCCAGACCCCACTGGGGGTGCTGGAGAGAAGGCACAGGTCCATGCAAACGGGTGGTGCTAAGTGGTGAGGCTGGAGGGAGGGAGAAACAAAAGGTGTCTCCTGGAGTTTGTCAGTGGCAGGATCCGGGGATGACCAGCGGAGGGAGACAGCGCCATCTAGTGAGCAGTTGGCACCAGTGCCGTGTCACCTTTTTTCCTTCAGCCTGCTAGCTCTCCCCGTATTTCCCTATCCAGGATGGGGGGGGGGGGGGGTGGAGTGTAAAGGGACAAAAGAACCCTGACTCTTTATGCCACGTGTGATCTTGAAAACCCTAAGTATTCCCATTATGCACCTAAGCATTCCCTTCGTGGCCTGGAGCCCGTGGGGGTAGATGGCGGTATGCGGGGGTGCGTGGGAACGGAGGACAGGTCACAGGCCCCAGTATGGCAGGTGGCTGCAGTTGCAGCTGGTGACAGTCTCACAACCTCCGCAGCCCCGCCCCTCTTCATGGCTACTTCTCCACCGTGGGTGCAGCTTCAAGGCCCTGGACGGGAGACAGACCAAGGCAGGCATGGGTATGCCACTAGCTGGGTGCCCTCAGGCAGGTGACCTCACAGCCCGGGCCTTGGTGCCTGCTGCTGTTAAATGGGGGTGATGGCTGGGTCAGCATTTCCCAAAGTGCTGAAGATACTTTCCATACTTCCTTAAGTCTGCATTAGAAAACATGATTAGCTTATCCTACCCAGCAGAGAATCGATGCTGTTGTGCTATTGCTAAATTTAGGGAAGGGACTGTTTACAGGGGGAGAAAGACAGACATGATGTGCAGACATGATCGGAATCCCAGCGGTGGGCTGCGGGCAGCCACCTTTGGGGGGCACTGCCCTGGCCTCTCTCTACGCCCACTCCGCGGGTCTCGGCCAAAGTGCTGCCTTCCCAGGTTGGGCTCTCCCTCTGTCCCAGAAAACCCGCTGCAGCTCCCAGGTACAAAAGAGATTCCTCTCTTAGGGCATTTTTGTGGGCAGTCGAGTCCCTGATACCAGGACGGGAGGGTGGGGGCAGAACTGCCCCTCGGGGTCCCTGAGTGGTGAGGACTGGCTTGATAAATGGCCCACCAGGCCGCTGGCTTCTGCTATCTCTGGGGGCCGCTCCCTGGTCTACACCAGCAGCCCTCATCAGGGCACCGGGAAGGTAGCTCCTGATGTGCAGGTAACTCTGGTTACCTGCTCTGCTCCCCCTGCTCTGTGGTGGCCCTACCCCTCCCTCCCCTCCCCCCCAGCACCCCCTCTCTCCAGGTGGTCTCAGAGAGGCACCCTGGAGAGATTGTGCTCAGAACAGAATCTTCCTAAACAAATAGGGATGTGAACCCTGGAGCCCCCTCGCCCCGACAGCACGGATAATCTGGACTTTCTCCCCATTTCCCCAATAGATTTGAAAGTGACCTCAAGGCCATGACCGGCCGCACCCTGAACTGGTACTGGAAGGCCATGTGGGCCGGCGTGAGCCCACTGCTCATCATCAGCCTCTTTGTCTTCTACCTGAGTGACTACATCCTCACAGGGACCCTGCAGTACCAAGCCTGGGACGCCTCCCAGGTACCCGTCTCGGCCTCCCCCCCCCGGGCTCACTCTCAAGCACTGGCTTTACGTTTTCTGACAAAGACCCACTTCCACAGTCTGGCAGGTTATTTGTCACGACACGGAGACACCACCCAGGTATTTAACAACAGCCCAGGACAGCAGACCTGGGCTTTGAGTTTTGCAATGTGAGCTCCAGGAAAGAGTAAGATTCCTTCCAGAACTTCTCAGGGCACCTTTCCTGGTGGCTGGGAGAAAGCCCCCTGCAAAGGCGCTGGTTCCTGCCCCCCAGGCAGCGCCCATCTCCTCCGCCGCAGGCCCCCTGACCTCTGTCCACTTTGCCTCCTGGGGAAAGGCAGAGCCAGCCTCTGCGGCATAGTCCCTGAGCCCCGGCAGGCGCCTGAGGCCACCTGGCTTGGCACTTGAGTTGCCGGATCCCGGGAGGGTCTGGCTCGGGGTGTGTGTGGCTGGGACACAACAGGCTCATCAAGGGCACAGGCAGCTGCTGTGTCAGTACTTTAACAACCAGGGCGGCTGTATCAATGCACTTGGCCCGAGGGCCAGTCCTGCTGCCCTTCCATGCAGACACGGTCTCATGGAGAACGTTTATGCCGCGAGGAAAGGAATCCTGCAGGCCCGTCGGCACTGGCTTCCTACAGGTAGAAGACCCTGTCCCTTAGCACTTGGCGTGCACGGGGGGCTGCGAAGGACGCCACTCCACGCAAGCAGGTGACTGATGGCGGCTGCAAGGTGCCCCTGCAGCGGTGGCCGGCAGGAGGACGGCCAGGGTGTCTTCTCCAACCCAGAGAAGACTGACGCTTTCGTAAAAAGCAGCAGCACTGAATCACTTGAAAAGTGGGAATTATATATAGAATATATATAGAAAATTTCTTCTATTCAACAGCTACACGATGAAGCGGTCAAATTGCTAAGACAGCTTCTAAACGCTTCCCCCGATTTCTGTACTAGTCAGAACGGAACAACAACAAAAAGTCCTAGGACGAGAAGCGGGAAGTCGGTGGGCTGCTTCCCGCACCGCCCTCTGAGCGGCGTTTTGGTTTACAAGCCGCAAACATCTGCTCCCTCGGACAGAGCTGTTCTGTGGCTCCCCCGTGGAAAGGTGGTGGTTACTGGCTTTCTGGCCTCATGTCTCATCAGCTCTAATGCATCTGCATTCAGGGAAACATCCGCCAACTAAACCCAGACATCTATCAAGGCTTCTCCCAAGCCTAGGGCTGTGCGGCTCAAGATGGCGGCCAACTACCACATGTGGCTATTAATATTTCAACTCATTAAAATTTCATACAACGTAAAATTCAGTTCTTCATGCCCACTGGCCACCTTTCAAGGGCTTGGCAGCCACCTGTGTCTGCTGGCTGCCATGTTGGACAGCACTCCTATGGAACTTTCTATCATCAAGAAGGTCCTGTTGGACAGCACCCGGCTAAGGTTAGCCCCCTACCTTTAGGTGCCCCAAATGGCACCTTGAAGGGAAGGCCCTTGATGATTCTTGTGGTTGCTCCTTATGGATAGCTCCAAATAGTGGCTGTAAGCACGCTGTTGAAGTTTGTGGAAGAGAAGGAAGACAAGGGCAGTTAGTCTACCCAGCATGCTTGCTAGTGAGCAACAGAGCCAGGTGGCCCCAGATGTAAGGATGCCCAGCCCCACCCACTCTGCACCAAACCAGGCTCTTCCCACTGACCCTCGACTTCTCCTTTCAGGGTCAGCTTGTGACCAAGGATTACCCCCTCTACGCACTGGCCGTCATCGGGCTGCTAGTGGCCGCCTCCACCATGTGCATCCCACTGGTGGCCCTGGGGACCTTCATTGTGCGCTGCCTCAAGAGGGGAGACACGGCCCCCGTGGCCTGAGGACTGGGCTTCTCAGAGACTGCGGTTTGACCGCTCACTGTTCTGTGGCTGTATTTACAGGTGGACTCTCCTTGGCTGCCTTTAAATATATTTACTCCAGAAATACTCAGCCCGTCATCTTCCTGAGTCCATCAAGAAGAATCAGGAGGGTGTGGAGGAAGAAGGCTCCCTCAGGAGGCCCCACACCCCACCCTCGGAGCGGCCCCTGCTCCCCTGTGCCTGCCCCCGAGGTCTTACCGCGCTGCCTCTTGATGCCAAAGACGTGGGCTTCTCAAGGCCAGTCTTGAAGACCGTTGCTTTCTCGATTCTAGGGAAGTCCCAGAATTCAGGCACAGTGTGAGCTGAAATTTGACTATAATTTTTATGGAATAAAATTTAAGCAATTTTTCCCCCTAAAGAAATCCCAACATATTAGAGGGCAATTGTTTTTACATTAGTGTGAAGAGAGGTTTTTTTAAGTGCCCTGAGAGGAGGGAGCTGAAGGTCACTGCTGCAAAATCAGTTCTCTTTTTTCAGCCAGACTGAATCCGCAAAGACTGTGTTCTTCATTAAGTGGACTGGCTGGCCACAAAGAAGGGTGGCCTTTGCGGTCACTCCTGTGACCTGAGGCCTCTCACATCACAGCGGGTCCAGGACCCATCAACCCAACCGCAGTAATGATACCCGAAGCCCAGGGCATGATTCCGTGAGCAGCCCGTGTGGCCGGCCCAGTGCCTTAGGCGGTAGAAGAGGTGCCAGAGCAACTCTGAGCGTGAAAGTCAACCTAACTTTCCCACAGATGATGATGTATTTGGACATGGTGGCCAACTATTTACAGGAAAGACAGCGTCACTTAAAATCAATTTTAAAATATTTGTACAGTTCTTTTTTAAGTTTATCCATTCATTGGGAGAGAGAGAATCCCAAGCAGCTCCACCCAGTCAGAGCCTGATGTGGGGCTTGAACCCATGGAACCATGGGATCCTGACCTGAGCCAAAACCGAGTCAGATGCTTAACCAACTGAGCCCCCCAGGTGCCCCTGTACCTAAGTTTTCTAAAATGTATATATAACTCAAACAGAGCACCTTGTAACTGAAGACGCCGTATTTATGATACTGCGTTATCTACCGTGCCAGTGTCTCCTGTCTTTTTTTTTTTTTTTTTTTACAGCCATCGGCAAGTCAAGGTTATCCCTGAGGGGAGAGGGACCCTCCAAACCTCTGTGCTTCACGGACATACAGAATTCAGAAAAGTTTCTTTGGGTAGGTTTGTACAAACATCTAAGACACTGAAACACTCACCTGGGACATCGGCTGGAGTTTTCTTTTACTTCTTTTATCATGCTATAAATGCCAAATAACAAAAACAGGCATCTGAAAGGTCTTTCACAAGCCATTTGTCAATACTTCCCATGCATAACTGATGGCCAGGTATGAAGAGATCACCACTTGCCTTTAAAATGCATGCACCGGCACTTACCAGGCACTCCGTCTTCAGACTTCTCGCCAGAGGGTCTCGTGTTGAAAACCTTTAGACATCAAGGCTTGAAGAGCAGGCACACTCAGTGACACACACACAGTTCTGTCCCCGAATCCTTATGAAGCGGGACCGCCCTTAGCGCCCAGTCCCGGTCTTACATCACGGCCACCCTTCCTGGGGTCCGTCACCAGCAGGGTGTCTCAGCCCTGATGCAAGGTATCCTCAGAACCGTGGGGACACACGTCCTAAATCATTCCTTTATTCTGGGTTTCCACACCTCCCCGCCCATCCGAACCACCTGCGAGCATGTAAAACTCCCAACGTCCACCTGGGCCACCCCTGGAGGACCAGGGCTCCGTAATGTGTCATATGTATAGGAATATTTACATCAAAAGTGACCTTTAGGGGCGCCTGGGTGGCTCAGTCGGTTAAGTCTCCGACTTCGGCTCAGGTCATGATCTCACAGTTTTGAGCTCCGCGTCGGGCTTTGTGCTGACAGCTCAGAGCCTGGAGCCTCCTCAGATTCTGTGTCTTTCTTTCTGTCTGTCCCTCTCCTGCTCATACTCTTGTCTCTGTGTCTCTCAACAATAAATAAATGTTAAAAAAAAATTTTTAAGTGACCTTTAAACGTTTGAAAGCATTTTTGAGCACTTTCAATTGTACGGAAAAGCCACTTCTACAAAGTAATTCTTGCGCATGGAAGAATAGATAGATGAAGGGATAGATGAAGTCACCTGTTCTAGAATAATGTGCTCCAGGTGAAAATGCCTCAGATTTCTGGGCAGGTCTAGTCTGGTTTCTATGAACTCCACGATGGGCAGAGCATCCTCACTAACCCTCCTGACGCAGGAGAAGTCCTGTCTCAAACACTCTGTTGACTGTTTTCTTGGTGCTGCACAAAACTGCCCATGTGACCTCTGTTCGCCTTCCTCCAATAGGCTGCAGAGAGAGAGGGATGCACCTCCTGGCCACTAACAGTCCCCATGATGTCATGGCTGGATCGCAGACTCCAGAGAGTTTTCTATTCACACTGGAGACATAATGGCCCCTGACTTAGCTCTGAGAAACCAGAGAGGGAAATACTTGGGTGTTCAACAATTGTTGTCACAGGTAAAACCTTTGACAAGTGTATCTGTAGGTTTTTGTCATGTACTGGCTGCAGTTTTGAGCCCTCTCAACAGATTTTCCCTCATTATATAAATAGATGAGCTAATTATAAAAACATGGCAAATAAAAGCGAGTCCACCCAGCTCTTGTTTCTAGCACCTTCCCCACGTTTCCCTCCTCAGCCAGCCAGAGAAACCACACAGGTGCACCGTGTAAAGACCCTCATGTGAGATGATGCTGAGAGTCCATAAGATCAGAAAAGGGGCGCCTGGGGGGCTCAGTCAGTTAAGTGTCTGACCCTTGGTTTCGGCTCAGGTCATGATCTCCCAGTTTGTGAGTTCGAGCTCCACACTGGGCTCTTTGCTGACAGTGTGGAACCTGCTTGAGATTCTCTCTCTCTCCCTCTGCCCCTCCCCTGCTCTCTCTCAAAAAATAAACTATAAAAAATTTTTTTTGAAAAAGGTTTAATTTGATGGATTTAAAACAGGTTATGAGCTCTTGAGAACTGGTGCGGAACTGCCCCTGTGAAGGGCATCCTGGGCAGCCTGCCTGTTTCAGGGTCTCACTTTGGCTGAGGCCATGAGGGACCACAGCAGTAGCCTGAGCGCGCCCTCGCTGTGGTCCTGGGGGAAGGGGGGCGCATGCAAACTACTGTGTTAGATTTTTGTACGAGTTACTTTACGTAGAAAAGTTTGTGGTTGCTGTCCCACTTTATTGACAGAAAAGCTGGGGCAGAGAATTAACTGCCCCCATTAGGTTCTACTCAGTATTAGTTGGGGGAAGGAAAAAAAAAAAAGGAACAGATCTAAACATCTACTTGTAAGGCAAAAACATCATTGATGAACAGGAAATTCTTTATCTATTTTGAGAGAATGCACGCACAGCCGTGAGTTGGGGAGGGGCAGAGAGAGGATCCCAAGCAAGGTCCATCCACACTGTCAGCCCAGAGCCCAACGTGGGGCTCAATCCTATGACCAGGAGATCATGACCTGAGCCGAAATCGAGAGATGACACCTAATTGACTGAGCCGCCCAGGCGCCTCGACAAATAAATTCTTAACCAGGATGTCCTGATCAGCCTCTGACATGGGGATCACTTCTATCACCCACTTGCACAGCATCAGCCTTTATTGAGATCACCAACTGATGTGTTACAAGCTGGTCCCAGGGCAGGTGCTGGGGACAGTGCTGAATGGGACAGACACGGTCCCTGGACTTTATGGCCCTTACATTCGGCAGGGGGGTGGGCAGGGGAAGAGTCACAGTGAAGGTAACAAACAAGAGGATTACAGACGATGACCGTTTCCAAGAAGCCAACACATGGGTCCAATGATGGTGTGAGAGGGACAGCACTTCAGGCAGGTGGCTGAGGAGCTTTGTGGACGGAACATCTGTCCAAGTGGAGGCAACAGCACGCACAAAGGCCCGGAGGTGAGAAGGGGCAGGGAGGCCTGTGGCTGTGATGGGGAGAGTGATCGGGGGTGGGAGTGAGCAGGGTCGAGTCAGTAAGGCCTTGTAGGCCAGGCAAGGAGCTTAGACTGTCTTCAAAGAGCACCAGATCCCCACGGAGGGGTTAACACGGGGGCCCTGCCCTGCGGGAGCTGCCGGAAAAGATGTATGTATGTAGCACATCAAACCAACAAGGAACTACTCTCTAGAATATAACGAATACCAGCACATCAGTAAGGACAGACAATCTAACAGCAGCCGGCGAAGGACCCCGACAAGGTGCGGAACAGGAACACGGAGGACCAAACAAAGAATCGTGGAAAGATGTTCTGTCTCACCGGTGATCAGAGAGATGTCACAATGAGACACCGTTTCCTACCCGGCGGACTCAAGTCAGGAAGTCCGGCTTCCCAGGAGTAACGGGGAGCCACTAGGCCTGTAAATGGCACAGCCAGTTCAGAGAACAACTCCATGTTACCTTGTACTCTCACCCGGGGCAGGTGCCAAGGCGACACACTCTCCCGCGTGAGCCAGGGGGTGTGGGGAATGCGCGGAGCCGTACCGGCGGCAGGGGCTAAGGGGCTAACGCCAGCAAACCACCAAAATGCCCATCAGCATCAGGCTGGACAAAACATGGACTGTGATCTAGAAATCCCACTGGGATGCATTTGTTTTCAACACACCAATGGGAAGGGGTGACGGCTGTGAGCACCGGCACGGAGGAGTCCTAGGGACAGGATGTGGAGTTCGATCGAGGGCAGGCCACCGGGTGCACACGGGATGACACAGCTTTACAGACTTGAGATGCAAGCGAAAGCAGACAGCGCGCCTCCTCAGGGACGCACGGGCAGAGGTGTGGATGCATGGGTGAGGGGGAGCGGAGGTGCGAAGGAAGAAGAGTGAGGCTGGTGGTGAGCTCTCTGGGAGGACGCAGGGGTGGGCCCCAGGCAGGATGCGGGGCCCCCTTCTCCCCCATTCTGTCACAGGAGGAGAGCAAGGAAACTTTGCTCTGAACTTGGAGGCTCTGAACTTACACACAGCAAGGTGCCTTTCCCGAAGGAAACGGAGAGAGAAGGCAGCCGCGAGCTGCGGGGAACAGGGCAGCTGCTGGGGACAGGGAGGTCCTTGCACCCTCCTCCCTCTACCCCCCGCCTGCTTCCACTTCCTCTGTCTCTCCTCTCCCCTCCTCCCAGGTGAGAGCCGGCCCTCGACTCGGTACCACACAACTGCCAAGGGGAGCAGAGATGAGGGATACCTACCAGGTCCTGCCCAAACTGCAGGGTTTGTGAGCAAAACCCACGTCACCCTTGTCCTGTGCCACTCTGGGCTCTTGTCTGCTATGCAGGATTCGTAAACCAGAACCCCTGGGTCCCAGCACAGGCGCCACCGCCCACAGGTGGCCTCCTGACTCTCCCTGGCACTAAGTCAGAGTCTCGCCTCGATTTTCTCCCCTCGCTGGCTGCGGTAGCCGACCTCCACGATGGCGCCAGAGACGCCCACCTCCTGGGACTCCTGCCTCCGTGCAATCCCCCCCTCCCCTCGAGTGCGCTGGAGCCGCCGACTTATTTCCAACACAGAAAATACAGCAGATGCCACGGGATGACAGGCCGGAGAGGCAGCTACGAAAGGCTGGCACTTCCATCTTGCTGGCTTTGAGGAGCCCAGCCGCCATGCTGGAGAGCCTCACGAGGCAAGGAACAAACCTATCATAACTCATCTGTATCAGAATGCCTTCTTCTGACATCAGGACTTCTGGATGATAAAACCCCAAGACCTAAAACCCTTCAGCTCAGGTCATGATCTCACAGCTCGTGAGTTCAAGCCCTGTGTCAGGCCCTATGCTGACAGCTTGGAGCCCAGAGCCTGCTTTGGATTCTGTTTCCCTCTCTCTCTCAAAAATAAACAAACTTAAAAAAAAAGCCATTAAGCCACTTCCCTGAACATCACCCCTATGTACACACCCTGCATCTTTCCTGCCCTCTTATCCAGACCTTGCATTTGGCACACCTCCAATTCCAATCCTGATACCAAAAGTAAACCCCATTCCATCAGGATTGAGGAATCCGCATCATGTAACTTTGGGGGCTGTCTGCACCTTTCCCCACCCCACCTGTGGTCCCTGAATCCTGAACGGGACAAGGCTTGTCATTCTGTAGCTACAAATAAGACAGCACAGATTCCTTGGGGAACGCACTGCTAAATCTCTCTCATACTAAAGTACAGTCGGACAATCAAACATTTCTTCATCCCATGGAAGGAAGGAGCTAGAGATTACCAGGAACAAAACACCAATAAGGCTATCAGGGAAGGACAGAAGGTCACAGCGAGTAGGTGGGAGAGAATCCTTAAAAACCCCTTTACGGGAAGCCGTGGGGGCAGCTGTCTTCACCCTACGTGCGGGGAAGGAACTGTGAGAGCCCATGCAGAGAGCCAATACCAGGGACGGCCTGGCACAGTCCGAGGCGGCACTGCTCAGCTCAGAGGGGGACAGTGTACCCCACACACCATCCCCAGGACTTCTGCCTTGCTCCTCACATGTGCGAGGGCCTCCCAGGCACCGAGGTGTTTCCCACCTTGTTCTGACACATTCCCAGCCTGAGAGACCACTTTCTAAGCAGCAGCACTGTCGCACTTCCCAGCTGAGGCCTGTATCATTTTGAAAAACAAACCACAACTCAGAGGGGGTTTGGGGCAGGGGACATCTTTTTACAGACATCATGCTTTACTAAGTATTTCCCTTTTTTTTTTTTTTAACTTTTATTCATTTTTGAGAGAGGCAGAGTGTAAGCGGGGGAGGGGCAGAGAGAGAGGGAGACAGAGAAACCGAAACAGGCTCTAGACTCTGAGCTGCCAGCACAGAGCCCGACGCAGGGCTCAAACTCACAAGCCACAAGATCACAACCTGAGCCCAAAGCAGACGCTCAACTGACTGAACCAACCAGATGGCCTGATGTTTCCCTGGTTTTATCTGTAACAACAACAAAAAAAATAATTGTGCGGATGAACACAATTTCTCAAGTGATAAATGAAAAGTGGGATTTCAGAGGCTATTAATTCTCTTGCTCACTTACATCGTCCCCATTTTCTGCACAGCCTAAGCACACACTGCTTCGCACGAGGTTTAAAAGTCTACAGTTGGGGCGCCTGGGTGGCTTAGTCGGTTAAGCGTCCGACTTTCGCTTAGGTCATGATCTCGCGGTTGGTGGGTTCGAGCCCCGTGTCCGGCTCTGTGCTGACTGCCAGCTCAGGGCCTGGAGCCTGTTTCAGAGTCTGTGACTCCCTCTCTCTCTGACCCTCCCCTGCTCACGCTGTCTCTCTCTCTCTCCTAGAAATAAATAAAACATTAAAAAAAAAAATCATTATAAAAAAAATAAATAAATAAAAGTCTACAGTAAAAAAGAACATACCTTTCAAGACCAAGCATGGGAACGATACCAACAGCAGGTAGAAAAGAATAGGACATTTATTTCCATGTAGGGGTGTACAGTACACGAATTTAGAAATAAAATCACCGCAGGGTTCTGGAATGCAGACGCCTTCAGATGGGACACACCGGTGTCCGTCTGTCCGTCCGTCCACGCTGGCGGCTCTCAGTTGGTCTCAGCTGTGGCTGTGGCAGGGAGATCTTCCCGTGAAGCGGCCGGTAGCACTCGAGTCATACAGTACAGTAGACACGAACCAAGGTCCAAACACTTCATCTTTGGAACAAAGTATGCTTATGTACATGTTAAGAATAGTAGTTCTAATAATTACTTAGCTTACTGTGAGTTTTAGGGACTGATTTTTAAGCTACAGAGGGTGTCCAGCTATTATCTTTTAGAGTTTCTAGAAGCAACATCTTTAATAATGTTTATAAAAGATAATGTTGGGGGGAAAAAAAAAGTCCTGTTGAAACAAAGGCGCTTTGAAAAGACGTTTAAGGACAACGTAAGGTATCACACTGAAATAAACTGTACATATTTTCAAGCACAACATAAATCTTGCAGCCGTATTTAATTGAACTGTCTTAAAACAGTGGGGATTATACTACCCTATGACTCTTCTAATATTTAAACCTCATAATTACAGTTTGAATATGCAGTCCAACTTATGATTAGAAATATGCACAGCTTCTAAAGCAGATTTCTCAGGTTTGTTTTTGCACATAAATTAACATTGAAGTTGGTCCTTGATCTGGAGAACGCGAACCTAACGACCCGGAGCAGACACTGCAGGCGCACCTGGGCAGCTAACAAACCTTTACGGGTGGAGAGCGCAGACGGCGCCGTGCGCGGGAAGCGGCTGTGGGCCTCCAAGGCCAACACCAGGTCCAGCGCGCGGGCCTCTCAGAGGCCTGCGTGTCTCGCTGCACGACCCCTAGAGAAACAGCATCCCCGGGGGGGACCGGTGGGCCAGTCGCAGGGTGTCCTCCGCACGGGGGGCACATGCTTACAGCAGAGGCGGCTTTGGGCCTTTAGCATAAGACACGGGCTTTACATTCTTTGATTTCATTTATACCTTTAACAAAAGATAAAGTATCATCCAAACTTCTTCTTCATACTCAATTTGAGCTGAACTCAGAAGACCGCCCAACGGAAACTTCAGAAGAACACTAGACCTGACCCCGTCCTACAAGGAATAAGGTCTCAGGCCGGCCGTCAAACCACTCGACGTCCGTGAAAGACACACTCTGTCTAAATAGTCGAGTTAGCAGATTCTTCAACTTTTAAGAACGTCCACAGATGGGTACGGAAGTCCGCTTGCTAACAGTGACGGCCTCTACAAAGACCATAAGGAAACTGAGCTAGAAAAATAATTTTACCATTTTAAATAACGAAAGACGCTAGATTTCTTAAATATATTACTTATCCTGTAAAAGTTGATCAAATCGACAAGAAGTAGATTCCTTCCATTCGGGGAGCTGAATTCAGGTTACCCTTTAATTACGGAAGAGTTTCAAAATTATAAACAGTCCCAGTAGTGAAGAAGCCATCGAGGCAGGAGCGTCAGGCTGATTCTAGGTCACCCCCCCCAACCCTGCCCCCCAAACGGAGCACAAGGTGTGCTTCTGGAGAGAGGCTTTAAAAGGACCTCGGGCTGATGTGGAAAGCGGGTCAGTAAAGACTCCAATTCTGCGTGATGGAATCTTCCAAGCCGAGCCGCTTTCCACAGACACAAATTCAGTCCATCTTTTCTTTCTGGACCAATCTGGGAGCATCGACAAAATCTTTGCCATTATAAAGAATAATAAAAAATGTTCCAATGCTTGCGACTCCCCAGAAGAGCACATAGGCCAGTGTTTCTGTCCAAGTGTCACCTGTCAATATAAACAGAGAACTGATAAATAAAGGGCCGTGTTACTGATCCTAGATCTAGTTTCAGCTGTTTAAACGATAAAAGTATAGTCTCAACAACATTAAAGTTTATGAGTACAAAATACAAGAAGCTCTGAACTAAGGTCTGAATCGGTAGTTCTTGAACTCGGGCTGGCATCAGAGTCCCGGCCGGGACTCCGTAAGGCATCAGCCACTGGGTCCAACCCCAGTGATTCTGACTCAGCAGGTCTGGGCTGGGGCCCAAGAATCTGCATTTCTAACCAGTTCCCAGATAACACTGATGCCACTGGCCAGGGGGCCACACCTTCAGAAGCAGCTGACTAAACCATTCCACCTTACATCATGCACGGAATTATTACTTTTAGATGACATATTTTCACATTACAAGAAGTCATTTCTAATACGTTTGCTACAATCAAAACACCTGCACAAAAGAAATAACTTCACAAAACAAAATGCTTCAGGAAACTTAGGTATCAAAGCATATAAAGCAACATATTTTAAGGTAACATATTTTGAGGATGCATTTCACACAATTCTCCTGATACAGCGTTGTTTGCAAGCGTCCCTGGTTCATGACGGTTGGCAGCAGCGAGAAAAGATCTACTTTGTTCTACAGCTTGAGGAGCTGAACCTAGTGCTATTTCTCCCCTGCAACAGGACTGGCTGCGCCTCCGGGTAACGGGGAGATGCGCCTGCGGGGCTGCAGACGCACCCTCAGGTGGGGAGACACACGCAGAGGCCAAGAGACAGGGAGGAGGCACGGGCTCCTGGGAAGCTGTCGGAGATCATGCTGCGCTATTTCCCATTCTCTGAAAACCCAAAGTGTGGGCTAGAAACCAGATGCCCCACGCTCACGCTCACAATTTTATGGCAATGAACTGCTGTGAGATGGTGCCGTCCATAGAGGCAGTCTCCTTTTACTCAAAAATACATCCAAATTGACATAACTGCTACTTTTTACACCTTTTGAGTTTTAACATTCTTCTAGGACAAACAAGAAAGGCAGTTCCTCCCAAGCCCAACTTGGGACATTCCCCAAAGGCACGGTCCGTTTGTTCAGGCCGAGCTCTGGCTCTCCAGGGAGTCAGGGGAACACCGAACAGGCCACAGTAACAAAACTAATTCAGCGGTGGACTGACGGGCTCCCAGGAAAAGGCCTCCACTAGGCAGCGCTTTAAACAAGTCAGTGGAGGGAGTGAAGGGCATGGAAAGCAGGTGCTGGCTGCCCCATCCTTGTCCTTCCTGCCCCCACAGTGGACACAGGACCCAAGTGGTGCCACACATACTTCCTGCGCTCCAGAGCCCACGGCCTGTCCTCATGCTGTGGGCTAAGGATGGTTTCTACATTTTCAAAGAGCTCAAAGCACGCTGCGCCGCAGAGGCCGCACATAGTCCGGGAAGTCTAAGCTATTACCTCGCTCTGTACCGAAACCGTCCACTAAGATACCCATCGGCACTAGATAACAACAGGGGCCCCCTCCCCCACGTCGTGACCGTCTGCAGTGCATGACATCGAGGGGATTACAGGGGCCACGCCAACAAGAATGTGAGCGTGTGCATGTGCATGGAAGGGGGGAGTGGTTAAGGGTCCTCGGCTCACAAACTTTTGCTGAGGGCTTACCAGATCTCAGACACAGGAGAGAAAGACACACAAGTACACAAACTGTGATAAAGAGAAATAGCCTCTGGGGATGCCAGGGACACTGGAGAGGTGCGCCGCCCCCGAGAGAAAGAGATCGGGTGCTTCTGAGGTCAAAGGAGAAAGTGCCACGAGAGGCACACGGTGCGGCGGCAGTGACGGGGGGACGTCCAGGCGGTGTCCTGACCAGGTGGCCCGCAGAGCCAGACAGAGGGGGAGGGCAGAAGGGCACCTGCCTCCTGAGCGCCTAAGGCCGCCCCGCAAAGCACACTGCGACCCAGTCACAGCCTCCGGCTCCCACGGCACTGCACTGTACTCTACGGAGACTTCAGTCCCAAATGCTTATTAGCATAGTAACACAGGAGATGTTAAGAGAAAGAGAAAACCGGTAAAGATGTCATGCACAAGTTCTTGTGCAACTCTGCTCTCCATCTGCTAAAATTTAACGATAGGTAGTGTATTTATCTATTTTTTTCTAATGTTTGTTTATTTTTGAGAGACAGAGACAGACTGAGCATGAGTTGGGGAGGGGCAGCGAGAAGGGAGACACAGAATCTGAAACAAGCTCCAGACTCCAAGCTGTCAGCAGAGCCCGATACGGGGCTCGAACCCACAAACTGAGATCATGACCTGAGCCAAAGTCGGACTCTCAACCAACTGAGGCCCCCAGGCACCCCAGTGTATTAATCTATTAATAACATTTGTTTAATAATAGGTAGTTGTTTAAATAAACTATATACCCATAAATGGATTTCTTTCTCTTCCTTTCTTCCTCCCTCCCTCTCATTTTAATTTTACAGAGTGTGAGTGGGGGAGGGACAGGAAGGAAGAGAGGGAAAAGGAAGAGAGACTCTTATGCATGCTCTGCTCCCAGTGTTGAGCCCAACATGGGACTCTATCCCACCATCCTGGGATTATTACCTGAGCTGATATCAAGAGTCGAACACTCAACTGGCTGAGCCACCTAGGAGCCCTTGTAAATGGATTTTAATGCAACCATTAAAAATAAAGAGCATAGGGAAATGTTTACATTGCTCAATTTAAAAAACCGGATTACAAAAATGTGTAATATCTCACTTGTGAAAAAAATCACATAGTTATAAAGATTAAAACATCCGGGATGCCTGGGTGGCTCAGTCAGTTAAGCATCTGACTTTGGCTCAGATCGTGCTGACAGCTTGGAGTTGGGAGCCTGCTTCAGATTCTGTGTCTCCCTCTCTCTCTGCCCCTTCCCCGATTACACTCTGTCTCTCCCAAAAATAAACATTAAAAAAGTTTTTTAAACATCAAAATGTTAAGAGTAGTTAGCTTATCTTTAGAAGTCAGGATGATTTTTTTTTCTTTCTTGCCTAACTGTATTTTCTATAATTACTACGTATTACTTTAGGGGCTCCTGGGTGGCTCCGTCGGTTGAGCGTCCGACTTTGGCTCAGGTCACGATCTCATGGTTCATGGGTTCGAGCCCCACCTCAGGCTCTGGGCTGACAGCTAGCTTGGAGCCTGGAGCCTGCTTTGGATTCTGTGTCTCCCTCTCTCTCTGCCCCTCCCCTGCTCGTGCTCTGTCTCTCTCTCTCAAAAACAAACATTAAAAAATAATAATAATTACTATGTACTACTTTAGTAATAAGAAAAAAATTTTAGGGGTGTCTAGGTGGCTCAATCAGTTAAACATCCAACTCTGAATTTCCGCTCAGGTCATGATCTCACGCTTTGGGGGTTTGAGCCACGTGTCGGCCTCTGTGCTGACAGTGTGGAGCCTGCGGGATTCTCTCTCCCTCTCTCTGCCCCTCCCCGGGTCGAGCGTACACGTGTGCACGTGCGTGTATGCTCTCTTTCTCAAAATAAACTTGGGAAAAAAGTATTTTAAAATCTTAAATAAACAACACTAATTATCAGTAAGCGTGAGCATGTATTTGCACGTATTTTTCCTCCCATCACACGTAAGGACCAGTCACTGTGCTCACTGAATCCAACAGGGAATATCAAGGGCCGAGCAGACTCCTAATCTCAAGATGCTAAGATACGAGGAAGCCCCACGTTCTCAGAAATTAATGCAAAACGTGAAATGTGAGCAGACTCACCAGCCATCAGCAAACAAATGATGCACATCGAGAAGGCCACAACCATGATGATGGGTAGCTAGAAAGGCAAACAGAGAGAGAAACGATCAGCTGAGAATCCTACTCAACGGCTGCAACCTCAGCTGTGCGCTCTTGGCGTGAAAAAGACTCTCCTGCAACCCAACACAATCCATCTTTTTCCAGCAAAACATCATTACTGAGGCGGTTCAATCACAACTGCCCACAACTGCAGACTGGTCAGGTCACGGGAGCTGAAGCAGCATGGCCTTGGCCCACACAAGGGAGGGAGGCGCAGGCCCCTCTGCCTGCTGGAGGAGACCCCAGGGAGGCTCCAGCCACATCTGCTGAGCGGAGGAGTCCCAGAGGGGACAAGAGTCAGAAACGTACCCTGCCTTCCATACTGCGGGTGCACCTCCTGCAGCCCCTCAGTGTGAAGGGAGTGGAATTTTCCTGAAACGAGAGACCCCGCCCCACCCTCCCTCTGGCTCATGTGCTCTCAGGAAGAGAGTCGAGTGCGCAGGAACACAAGCACCCGAAGTCACTGGACTCCCCTCCCTCGTCTTCTCCTCAGGGAGACTGAGTGTGTACGGTCCTTTCAGGACAACACATAAGGTTAAAAATTGGGGGGCGGGGAGGGTGCCACCAGCTCTATCTGCAGACACAGTGCTTTTATAAACGAGAAGAAGAGAAAGGTTTCTTACAGCCAGGAATTTCAAGTCCCGTGTGACACTTAAAGGACTATGAGATTCCAGTTCATCCACTGAGTAGTTCCCGAGAAACAAGTCTATGGAATCCTGGAACAGAAGAAAGGAGATTAAGGACCCCACTCGGAGGCAGTCACAGGATTCGGGAACAGCACAGAGACGCGGCCACCGTGTGGCCAACGATGAGCAGCACGCACAGACTCACCTGCCTAAACCCGTCAGAGAAGTTGTTTTTGTAATAGCGTATAAGCGAGTTCCAGCCGTCCATGAGCAGCCCCAGCTGAGTCCTCTTCCCAGTTCTGGTCAAAAGAGGTGAATCTCAAGTTACAGATTTGTATATGAAATTCTTCCACAGTTTTATACCTGGTGAGTACGTGGTATGGACCCAAAGTGAATTACAGAGATTTTAAAACTCGTCCTGGAGAGGCGCTGGTGGCTCAGTTGGTTAATTATCTGACTTGTGATTTCAGCTCAGGTCATGACCTCACGGTTCAGGAGATCAAGCCCCATGTCAGGCTCTGTGCTGACGGCCCAGAGCCCAGAGCCTGCTTGGGATTCTGTGTCTCCCTCTCTCTCTGCCCCTCCCCGGCTCACGCTCTCTTTCAAAATAAACATTAAAGGGGCACCTGGGTGGCTCAGTCAGTTAAGCGTCAGACTTTGGCTCAGTTCATGATCTCACGGTCCATGGGTTTGAGCCCCACATTGGGCTCTGTACTGACAGCTCAGAGCCTGGAGCCTGTTTCAGATTCTGTCTCCCTCTCTCTGTCCCTCCCCAGCTTGTGCTCTGTCTCTGTCTCAAAAATAAATAAACAACAAAAAATTAAAGAAGAAAGGAAGGAAGGAAGGAGACGAGAGGCCCAGATGCAGTGGTCAGAACAGCAGAGACTAGGGATCTTCCTCTGTTCCGAGAATCCGTGTGGCAGAGAAACAAAGTTCCCAGGTCTTCTCGTGGGCAGTGTGTCGGCATCACTGGCCACTCCCCTGCGGCACAGAACCCAGGCCCCGCCCACACCCGTGCATCACACCACCCTGACCCGGCAGCACCGCAGGGTGTGGGAAGGGCTGAGGGGCCGCATTCGCTCCCTGCACAGCAAGACCGCCAGGGAGGCCAGGAAGCCACTGGCACTGGGCCCCCCACCCCACTGCCCCAGCAAGCCTCACTGGACGGCTGCGAACCGAGGCCCAGGCGCTGGGGTTTGGCCGCTGTGACCCTAACGTGCGCAGACGCGAGCTAGAAAGCACGGCTTACCTGGTAAAGTCTGTCTTCAGGGCGCCAGTGCCCGCGTACTGCTTGGCACACGCATTCGCGTTGTCGGCCCAGGCTGTGAAAACAAGGGAAAGTCAACTGACGATAATGAATGTGACAGCCGGAGTCTCTAAATCCAAATCACTAATTTATTTCACAACTTAAGTAACTTTGCCTCCTTTAAAAAGACTACATACCATTTTTGTAAATCTTCTCAAAATCATGCTGCTCTTCAAGCTTCTGTCCCACATGCAAAACTCCCAGTCTCTGGAATAAGAAGCACACCCCGGTCAAGTGTAAGGGTTCCAGCACACGTGGCCCGGGAAGAAGAGTAGATAGTCCCAGCTGGTGGCTCGAGGCTCCCAGCTGCAGGCGGGGATGCCGTCCTTGCACATGGGGAGTGGGGGTGCCCCTGTTGCCCATGGCCTCCCCCTACCCGCATCCCAGGCCAGGCTGCAGAGCCTCCGAGGGCTCCCTGTCCTGCGGCCCCACCTCTCCCCAAGCCCCAGGCCCCAAGGGAGAAGATGGGCAGAGGGAGGGAAGGCAGTGGCAGCATCCGGGCCATCACCTCCTCCTTCCCCACTGACCCCAACCTCCCCCTGCCTGCACCCCCAGCCTCCCCACTGTTCCCATTACCCACTGTCTTTCCTTTCCTCCCCTACAGACTCTGAGGATCTCAGAGGACCCCACTCTGGGGTCACTGTCCACAGATTAGGGACCCCGAGCCCTGGTCTTTGTCTTGGACTTCAGCCCTCTCGGAACCCCCACCTTCACTGTTCACCTGAGACCACACCCCAGAATGGCCTTCCCACCTGCCCTCCATGACCTTTAGCTGGTGGGGGCCAGGGTGGGGGGATGCCAGAAGTCCCCACCACCGCGGAACTGATGCGGAAATGACTCTTGGAAATGTGGCTAGGTTGTACAGCACTCACTCAGCATGCGAAATAGTTAAGTACAGATTACAGAACCTAAATAGGTTTTGTTTATCGGACTTGGAAACAACCATTGTTACTACTGTTTTTCTTTTTTTTTTTTTTGCTACTATTGTTTCTATTAAAAAATACACCCTGAAGTAGATCCTTGAGACTGACCAGGACAAGGTACGATACAAGCTAGAGCACGTTCCAACAGGGAAACCGCTCCTCTGGCCTGTGCTACCTACGAGGAGTCAATTCATTTTAAATTTCACAATTCATTCTACTTCTGCAATTCCTGGTATCATAAAATTACCATAAATGAAGCTGAATTGTCATAAACAAAGGAAACCAATCAGCACACATTCTGTTTGCCCCTCATAATAAATGCCAATGTTACCTGGAGAGCTGGGCTCCAGTAACAAAAGAGATGCAAGTGCAAACACTAGAAGCACTGCTCCGTACTATTAAAATGGAAAACAAAGTTTTGAGTAGAAACGTCTAGGGCTGGCAGGAGTTCAATGAACTCGATTCACTAATCACGGTGTCGGTGTAAACTGCCAGGAGCCTCTTGGAAAGCATATTCTCTTTAATGCAGTAAATTCTACTTCTAGGAATTTTCCCAAAGGGAAGAACTCAAGCTAATAATAACACATGCAGACATATCCTCGGCAATGTTACTTCTAAGCCAAAAATGCAGCAGCTTAATAAGTGCAACTCCTAAACCCTCTGGCTACGCGTCACGCTGGGGGACGGGGAAAAATTAACAACTGTGTAGAGGGGCGCTGGGCGGGCTCAGCTGGTGGAGCCTGCGACTCTTGATCTCAAGGCTGTGGGCTCGAGCCCCACATTGGGTGTAGAGCTTACTTAAAAATAAAATCTTTAAAAAACAAAAACAACCCCCCCACCTGACACTGTGTACACATACACCAACCACAGGTATGGAAATGTGCACGCCCACGGGTGGAAAGGCGCAAAAACAAAAAAGGTGGCTTAGGGTGGGAAGCAAGGTGAATATTTTCTGGTATTTGTTTTGGCTTGTAATGTTTTCCGTTCATGTTTTTAAAGATGCGGCTTCTCTACCGTGGGCCGTGCTGCTGGCCCAGGAGGAGGGAAGAGGTTCTGCACCTGAAGCTGGGCCTGCAGCGAGCGGCGGGCCAGCAGGCTCTGGATCACGTTGGTCCTGTCCAGGCAGTCCATGCAGTTGCTGCGGAACACGCCCTCCTGGCTCGCCACCACCATGCCGGCGGAGTCCACTAGAAAATAACTATAACACATTCGTATAAACACCCTCATAGCAAAGGCAGTCCGACACGCGGGCGACCCGCCGCTGATGGCACGGTTCTGGTCCCCAACACGGGGGAGACTGGCAGGCAGATTACAAGTTCAGGTGGGCAATGTGTGGCCCAGGGATATTTGCTTAGAACAGAGGCAGGCCCTGTCCAAGCGCGCGCTGGGCACCAGAGGCCAGCTCCCGAGGGATGAACAAGCAGGGGGGCGGAGGGGCGACCCCGAGGCGGGAGCAGGCCCCCTCCGGCACAGCCGTCCATCTGTGTCCTGCAGACCAGATTTCTTGTCTGAAGCACGGTCCCTACACTCTGTGTCAGATTTCCCCGAGCTGTTTTTTAAAACTGAACGCACTTGGCCTTGAGATGAATTCAAGTCAGAATCTATCAAGCAAAGGCTGGAAACTGTGCACTAAGAACACTGGGTTAATATATGGGAAAGTACAAAGTTTATAAAGTTCAATAAGGTATTACTTGAAATTGAGGTTCCCTTTCTCCCCTTCACCACCCAGATGTCCACACCGGCCAATCGTGGTTCTCAGTTCCTGCGTCTCGTTCCTTCCCTGGACAACTCGCAGTGCAGCAGGGAAGGGCGTGGCCTCTGGCAGGGAGCCCCTAGCGCTACCCAGGCCACTCGCTGGCTGTGTCACTGCAAGTCACTGCCCTGATCTCTCAGAACCGAAGTTCTCACCCACAAGGTGGAGGGGATGGCACCCTGTCCCACCACTCTAAGGCCCAATGGTAAAGGGGCATGACGTATGCGGTGATGGATGGAGCACGTGGGACAAAGCGTAACATACAATGACCACCATGAGATAATTTCACTGCAATTACTCCCCCAAATTGACATGGAGCAGGGAAACACAACAGATTTACCACAGGCCAAATAAAAAGTATGAGCTTGAAAATAAGGGTCTAAAAGAATGTGTTTAAGCTAAACATCTACAGGAGATTCACGCAGAATTGGTGAAGACCGTTTGGAGCTGGTGTATGTAGGTAGGTGTGCGTGAGTGCACACGGGTGCTGGCACCGGGTTAGCCCTTACAAAATACATACTAGGTGTTTTATAAGTATCGTTTCTTACACTACACGCTAGTGGGTCGCCCCTCGGCCCCACTTGTTCGTCCCTCGGGAGCTGGCCTCCGGTGGCCAGTGCACGCATGGACAGGGGCTGGCTCTGTTCTGGGGGAGGTATTATCCTCTGCACTTTGCAGAGCACTGCCTTGCCCCTGCGTCACATGGCTAAGAAGAAACAAGGATTTCAACAGGAGGTAGGTTATAGCCCAAGGCCCCAATTCTTTCTACTTTCCCAAAAGTCCTTGGGGAGAGTGTCCAGAGAGGCCATGTGCAGGTCACTGGGGAAAGCCCTACTGTCCCTTAGAACCCAGAGGACAGTGATGCTTTCTCACACTCTTGCAGAGCAGCGATTAATGGGGGGAGCCAAGGAGCCACCTCCTCCGACAGCGTCCTAGGTCCAGCCAGTGTCACTGCCGCCCAATAAGGACGTACATCAACTTCCCTTCACTAGCTGCTCGTGATAAAACTCCATACAAAAAGAGCGATTTAACTAACCGTTGCTAATTAATATGCATAAAGAACACTTTTAAAAATGGAGAAATGCCCACAGGACAAGTGTTACTGTGCTCCTGCGGAGCGGGAATGAGAAAGTGCATGTGGGCTGCAGGGTCAGAACTACGCCCAGGCGGACAAGGTGACAGAACGGTTTACAGCTTCCCTCCTCTGGCTTCAGAATCGGTGAAGACTGACCTATGCAGAGAGGACAGGAAACCCGCGAGCCACCGCGGGAGAGGACATGGCAAACACGCACGGGAAGTACCGTGAAGTCACTGGGACCCTCTGAACCGTTAGCCGTACTCTCAAGACTGTGTCAGGGAATCACTGCACGGCAGTGAGAACACACGTGCCCAGAGCGATTCAGTGCAGCACATCTTTTGTGGGGGGAAAAGGAAACACGTCAGATGCCTAACATGAAAAAGAACACTGAACTGAGCCTATAGTGACCCAGTGGAGTACAGAAAAGCCATAAACCCCATCACTACCGACACTAGGCGGGATGACGCAACAGCAAAGCATCTGTGAGAGGGTGTTCAGTCAACAGCGAGATACAGAAGAGGAGCGCGCTGGCCCCGATGATACGAAGCTTTCTGTAAACATGCGGACACGGATTCGTAAGAATGTGAGAATACCTGGCCTTGGGGTGTTTTCAAGAACCTAAACATATTTTTAAGTCACAAAGACTCATCTTTCCAATAAAAAAGACTAAAAATAATGGTCTTTTTCCAAACAAGTACGGTGAACCCAAGGTGCTGTGCTGGTAAGCCTGGCAGACGATGCCTGACAACCTATCTTCACCTACGCGTGGCCCTCTTCCCTGGGCCTCCGCAGGGAGGTGATAACGGCTTACCTTAATTCATCCTGCATTTCTGCTACCTGATCCATCAGAATACTCAGTCGATCCCATCTCATGTTTTTACATTCTTTATGGAAGTCGAAAGCAATGTATCTGCCAAAAGAAAATATATGCAGGAACTGAGCAAAGGAGTCGTTTTCCTCCCGCCGCTACTTTGTTCATAAGCTGACTCTCCTGAGTGGAAACGGCACTTCTCCTTCACCGTGGGTTTACACACCCACACACCCCTTCACATGTTCTTCTAGGGCCTTCCAACAGGAGTTGAGAAGGAGCCCGGCAAAGGCAGAAGTGAGCTCAGGCACAGCATCGGGTAGACAGTATAAAATAGCCATGTCCAAATGAGTACTGAGTCCCAGTGTATATTTTTTCTCTTTTATTCTCTACCCCGATGTACAAAGAATAGGGTCCCTTTTTATTTTTTTTCAAACAGGTTAAAATGTTCAAAACGGTCCATCCAGCTCAGTTCAGTCCAAGGAGGATTAGATGGAGTGTCAGACTTGCCCTAGGGGCTGTGAGAAGAACAGAGGCAGCACGGTCCCCACTCTGGTTAGTTTCGGCCCATCGCTTTCTTTAACAAATCAAACCATTTGCCTCCTTTGTCAGTATTTATACATCTTACATAGATGTGGGGGAAAGAACCTTCTGTCAAGGTGTAATGCGGTTGTTTTTGGTTCTCTGATATTTAATGGGTATAATTCTTAAGGCCAGAACACCTCTGACGGTGAAGGTGTCCTACCACAAGTTGGAAAATGTTGCCAACTGAGAGGGAAAAATCATGAACCAGTTCCTGTAAGTCAAGGGAGTCAGGAATCAAGTCAAGCCATAAAGCAGGAGGCCTGGAAAGGCATCGTGCTCTGGTCCCCAGGGTCAAATTCAGACGAGACACTCATTCCCGTGTGACTCCCCTGGGTCCCAACAGGCAGAAGGAGCATCAGTGGAGCGTGGGCTTCTCTGCACATTTCGGAGGGCTCCTACCTCGGGGGGTGGGGGGGGTTCCCTACCACTTCAGTGGTTCTCTCACTGATGAGGAGAGAATGGCACCCTTAGAAATCAGTACAGTAACAGGGGCCAGCTGACCAAGAGGCCACACTCTGTGGAGACTGGGGCGGAGGGGCGGGGGGCGCATTTCTGAAGGCAGCTCTCACTAGTGGCAGTGTGACAGTCCCCTTCGGTGCGCTCCCACCAGAAGTAAGGGCCCCGGAGTGGCTTGAAGAACTGAAGCAGCCCACCAACATCCAAACACATCTGGATTCTTAAGCTCCTATCCTTCTAAAATCACGTGAATATCTTCTAAGAATGAGCTGCATTTGACAACAAACGGTTCTAAATACATCATTTTGCCTCTGACCCCAGCAGTCCAGCAAGCCATTATATCATTCTATTTTTGTGCATGTTTAAAGTTTCTCATAGGTTAGGGGCGCATGGGTGGCTCAGTCGGTTCAGTGCCTGACTTCAGCTCAGGTCATGATCTCACAGTTTGTGAGTTCTAGCCCCTGCATCGGGCTCTGTGCTGACAGCTCAGAGCCTGGAGCCTGCTTTGGATTCTGTGTCTCCCTCTCTCTCTGCCCCTCCCCCACTCATGTGCTTGCGCACTCTCTCTCTCTCTCTCTCAAAAAAATTAATAAACATTAAAAAAAATTAGAAGAACAACTTCTCCCCAAATAATCCAATTCCATTTCTTTGGGAAGTCTCCCCCACACGCCTGTGGCCGTCTCCTCCCACAGCACACAGCGCACCCCCACCTCCGGCCTGGTTTCTTGCTGTAGAAAGCTCCACAGGGGCTCCTCAGCCATTGCTGAGGTTTTGGGACCCCCTCTTTTGACAAGGCTACAGAGTCTGCAACCGTTGCCTGGCGACCTACAAAAGCGAAGCCACTGCTCCAGACAAGGCCACCAGCCAAGGGTAAACTTCTCTATTCACATGGTGGTCGGGACCAAAGAGACCACACCAAACATCACGAAGAACTGAAAATTCACAACCCCATGGCCATGCGACACACAGCCTCAAGGAGATTTTGATTAGGAACTAAACTTTCACAAAAGTAAATTAAAATCTGACTATTAAGAAGTTATTCTGCATGGGGTGCCTGGGTGGCTCAGTCGGTTAAGTGTCCGGCTTCAGCTCATGTCATGATCTCATGGTTCGTGGGTTCGAGCCCCGTGTCGGGCTCTGTGCTGACAGCTCAGAGCCTAGAGCCTGTCTTCAGATTCTGTATCCCCCCCTCTCGCTCTGACCCTCCCCTGCTCACTCTCTCTCTCTCTCTCTCAGAAATAAATAAAACATTAAGAAATTAAAATTTAAAAAAAAAAAGTTATTCTGCAATATAAATTATGCCAGAGAAGATTTCAAGCCAACATGATCATGTTTTGACCTAGTATCAGAAAAAAGAAAGAAAGCAGAAATACGTACAACAGGTTCTCCCTGAGGGTTCCTATGAAACAGCCTAAAGCAAAGGGGAGCCCCTGCTTTCCAAACATTCGCCGTATGCCCCAGGCCACACTGCTTTTTTTACGGAAGGCTTCCATTAGTAAGGTAGTGACTTTCTTGTCAAAGTGAAAAATCGCCTTTGGATTCCTTCCCGTTAGCGAAAACAGGTACTAACGGATCTTTTTTATAAAAGCGAAGTGGTATAAAGCCAACTTCTGGATGTGGGGACACCTGTGTGTCCAGGGAGAGCTACAAACTCGTGGCTACGGTCGTCTCCCCTCATCCACAGTTTCACTTTTACCAGGTTTAGTTCCCCGTAATCGACTCTGGTCTGAAAGCCGATGGCCCTCCTTCTGACACGCAGTCAGGTCAGTGCGACCTGATGCGGTCACGATGCCCGTGCACTTCATCACGTGGGCATCTAGCATCTCACCGTGTCACGAGTAGCATGACCACAGGAATAGTCAGATGTTCTGAGAGGCTGCGTTCACGCAGCTTTTATGACAGCGTATTGTTTCAACGATTCTATTTCAGTTATGGCATTTTCTACTCTCAGTTCATCTCCAACTGGGTGGTATTACATATTCAACTTTATCACGGGTATGCACACGTAAGTACCCGCGGGCTTCAGTGCCGCGTGTGAGTTCAGGCATCCATGGGGGGGCTGGGGACGGGTGCCCGGGGACGAGGAGGGCTGCTGGCCACGTGTGCGCACATCCCATCTGAAAAGACCTGCACGGATTTCTAGGGAGGTACCTGATCATTCCGCTTGCCAAGGAAGACACCATCGTTGCAAATGCCTGTTCCAGTGGTTTCTCTGAGCCCTTCTGGTTAACCTGCAAAAATAAGTAAATAAATAAAACCACCACAGCTTTCATTTAAGTCCCTTTAAAAGGAGAGGGTGAGATCAGCACAACGGTGGACTGGGAGGCTCTGAGCTCCCGGACCCTCATCACAGGAACAAACACCAAGAACAACAGAAGCCAACTCTGTAGGGGGGTCTGGAAAACCACCAAAGATTTAAGAGGCCACTGAGCAAATGCCCAATCAGAAAAAAGCTCTCTTCAAAAGTGTGGGACAGTTTTGTGTCACTTTTACCTGCCCTCACCCCACCCCATCCCCGGCCCAGTGACAGTCTCATTCTTAAGTGTTAGGAAACGGCAACCAGTGGACGCCTCGGCGGCTCAGTCAGTTAAGCGTCCAGCTCTTGGTTTCGGCTCAGGTCACGATCTCATGGTTCCTGAGTTCAAGCCCCGTGTCGGGCTCTGCGCTGATAGTGTGGAGCCTGCTTAGGATTCTCTCCCTCCCGCTCTCTGCCCCTTCCCTTCTCGCACTGTCTCTGTCTCTTTCAAGATAAATTAATAAAAATAAATAAGCTTAAAAAAAATGGCAAGCAGGTTCTCAGTCCCCTTCTCCAACTGGAGAGAGGACCAGTCCTTGTATGCAAATTATCGTGTGTGTTGTGCTCTGACCTGAAGGACTGTCCTGCTTGTCTCTGCCTCGCGTAACCGGGAACGCACGGGCAGGAGGGGAGGCGGCCACCACTCCTACAGGCCGCAAGAGCTCCACGGCCACCAGACGCCCAGAGCAGGGGATCTCGGGAAGCATAACCGAGACCACGTACAGCCTGTGAAGCAGCTGGGGTAACACTCTTCGGGAAATTAGGACTTTCAAAAGCAGCCACATAAAGGGAGGATTTTAGAGAGCCATGTGCGCACCCTGGTGGGGGACACACTCACAAAGGCCCGAGAAGACCGATCCCCCGAGGCTGGCCCCCGCGCTGCAGCAAGCCTGGCCCACCAGCACAGAACTGGTCTGCAGAGATCGGAAGATAGGACTGTTCTCTCGATTTTTGTTTTCCTCTTTGTTTCAGTTCCCGGCATTCAAAGGAATCTATCAAAAACACTAGCTGAACACAAGCGAAAAGAATAGAGGCTTCAGTGAGGACACACAAGGGGATAGTCTTTTCGAAAGTGGTTTGGACAAGTCTCAAAACCAATGGATTGCTACAGCCTTCAACAACAAAACAAAAACGAGAACAAAAACACCGTCAAACCCTGGGAGAGGAGAACCTGACTTCCAGAGTGACCACATTACAACCACCACCCAGTGCCTAACTTTTGACAACAAAAATATCCAGGCACACAAATAAATAGAGAAACCAGGCTTCCTCAGTGGAAAAGAATAAACTGACAGAAACCACCTGCAGAAGACTTATCAGAAAAAAGATTTAAAACGAGTGTCTTAAATATGCTCAGACCTCAAGGAAAACAGACAGGGAATGAAAGGAAACCAGGAAAACAGTATAGGACTAAACTAAGATCACCAGTGAAGAAACAAAAATTTCAAAGGAACTAAACAGTAAGTCTGGAGCTGGAAAGTACAAAGCAGACCTCAAACATTCAAGAGCACTGTGTGCAGGAGGAAAATCAACTCAGCACACTGGAGGATGAGACACACAGATGGGGTAACAGTCTGAGCTATAGAAAGAAAAATGAATGAGGAAAAGTGAATGGAGTCCCAGCAGATGTCTGGGACACCACCAGGGGACAAACATGTCCATTATGGGAGTCCGAGAAGGAAAAGACAGAGAGAAAGGAGTAAAAATCTTTTTTAAAGAAAAAAAAAATGGCTCTACACTTCCCAAATTTGATGAAAGACATAAATCTTCAAATCGAAAAACATCGCCCAAGTCCAAGTATGCTAAGCCCCAAGAAACCCACACCACGCACACATTATAAGCAAACTACTGCAAGACAGAAAGAGAAGGTCTGGAAAGCAGCCAGAGGGAACGATGCATCCCATACAAGGGATTCTCAACACGATTACAGGCCAGTTTCCCTCCAGAAACCTTGGGGGCCAGAAGACAGGGGGATTGATGTGTTTAAAGTACTGAAACACGGGCGCCTGGGTGGCTTGGTCGGTTAAGCGTCTGACTCTTGATTTCGGCTCAGGTCTTGATCTCACGGTTCCTGAGTCTGAGCCCCTCCTAGGACTCCATGCTGACAGTGCCAAAGACAGCGTGGAGGCTGCTTGGGATTCTCTCTCCCCGTCTCTCTGCCCCCGTCATCGCTTGTGCATGCACTTGCACACTCTCTCTCAAAATAAATAAACTTTTATAAAGTACTGAAAGAAAAGAACTGGAAGCCAAAACTTCTCTATCTGGCAACTATCCGGCAAAACTGTCCTTCAAGAAATGCTAAAGGAGTTTCCTTCAGGTTGAAATGAAAGAACTCTATGAAGCAGCCTGAAGCCACGGGAAGGTATTTAAATCTCCCATAAAGGTAAATACAAAGGCAAATATAGAAGGCAGCATTGTTGTAACTTTGGTCTGCACCTCCAGTTTTTTGTTGTTTTTTTTTTAATATTCTATAGGATTCAAGTAAAATGCACTGAAAGAAATTTATAAATCTATGTTACTGGGAACAAAATGTATAAAGATAGAATTTGTGACATTAATAATGTAAAGGGAAGGGATAAAGCTTTATAGGAGTAGAGTTTTGTATGCAAACTGAAGTTAGGTTGGTATCAATTCAAATTAATTACAAATTAATTATGACATTACATGTAATTCTCACAGTAATCAAAAAGAAAACATCTCTAGAATATACACAAAAGAAAATGAGAAAGTAATGAAAATACAGAAGTACAAAAAACTTCAACACAAAAGACAGTAATGGAGGAAGCCAAGGGATAAGAGACATACAAAAAACAAATAGCAAAGTGGCATTAATAAGTCTTTACAAATAAGTAATAACTTTAAATATAAATGGATTAGGTCTCTAATCAAAAGGCACAGATTAGCAGAATGAGTTAAAAAACACGATCCAACCATATGCCATACAAGACACTCACTTTAGATCTAGAGATACAAATTAGTTGAAAATGAAAGGATGGAGAGATAGTCTGTGCAAATAGTAATCAAAACAGGGCAGGGGTGGCTCTTTAACATCAGACAAAATAGACTTTAAGTCAAAAACTGTTTTAAGGACAAAGAAGACCATTACATGGTGATAAAAGAGTCAATTCACCAAAAACATCAAACACCCCAGATACATATGCACCAAACATCAGAGCCCAAAAACATAAGAAGGAACACTGAAAGAACTGAAGAGAGAAATAAACATGTCTACAATGACACTTGGAGATTTCAATAGCTCTCTTTCAATACTGGAGAGAGCAGCCACACAGAAGCTCAATACCACAGACAAATCAGACCCAACAAACAAAACACTCCACCCAACTTACTACCAGAAGATACATTTTTTTCAAGTGCACACGAAACAGTCTCCAATATAGATTACATGTTAGAACACAAAATAAGTCTTATCATATTTAAAGTAACTGTCATACAAAGTATGTTTTCTGATCACGATGGAATGAGGCTAACCCTCATGAATAAGGAAAACTAGAAACTTCATAAATAGGTGGAAATTAAACAGCATATTCTTAAACAACCACTGTGTTAAGGAAGAAATCACAAGAGAAATGAAAAGATAACCCGAGACAACTGAAAATACAATATGTCAAAACTTAGGAAATAAAGCAAAAGCAGCACACCAAGGGAAACTTACAGCTATAAACATATATATTAAAAAAATAAGACCTTAGGGGTGTCTGGGTGGCTCAGTGGGTTGAGCGTCCGACTTCGGCTCAGGTCATGATCTCACGGTTCGTGGGTTCGGGCCCCACGTCGGGCTCTGTGCTGACAGCCAGCTCAGAGCCTGGAGCCTGTTATGGAGTCTGTGTCTCCCTCTCTCTCTGACTCTCCCCTGTTCATGCTGTCTCTCTCTCTTTCAGAAATAAATAAAAACATTTAAATTAAAAAAAAAATAAGACCTTAAATCAAGGACTTCACTTTACACTTTAAAGAACCAGAAAGAAATGAGCAAATGAAACTCAAAGCAGCAAAGGGAAGGAAATAAAGATGAGAGCAGAGATAAATACAATAAAGTACAGAAAAACAGAGAAACTTCACTGAAACCAAAACTTCATTCTTTGAAAAGATCAACAAAATAGACAACTTTTAGCTATCATGACCAAGAAAAAAAGACTCAACTTACTAAAATCAGGAATGATAGATGGTACATTACTACCAAGTCTGAAGAAATAAAAAGGATTATAAGAGGATTCTATGAGCATCTGTATCTCAATGAACTAGACAACCTACATGATATGGACAAATTTCTAGAGACAATCTACCAAATCATTAATCTTGCAAAAACGAAATCTGAATAGACCTTATCTAGCAGTTCTCAAAAACAACCCAAAGAATGGGAGAAAATACTTGCAAAGCATCTCTAAGAAGGAATTCATCCCAGAATAAAGAACTACTATAACTCAACAACAAAAACAACAACCTGATTAAAAGTGAGCAAAATACTTGAGAAGACATTTCTCCTAAGAAGACATACAAATGTCCAATATGCACATGAAAAGATGCTCAACGTCACGAGTCACCAGAGAAATGCCAATCAAAACCACAATGACACACCACTCCACCACCATAAAGATGGCTATAATCAAAAAAGGAAACAAAATAAATCCTGAAGAAATAAGTGTTGGCAAGGATGTGGAGAGATTGGAATGCCAGTGCACTGCTGGAGGGAACGTAAAACGAAGCCATGGGGAAGAACAGGACAGTGGTTCCTTAAAAAGTTAAACCTAGAACTATAATACAATCCAGCAATCCCACTTCGAGGTATAGTCCTGAAAGAACTGAAAGCAGTAACAAATACATACTTGCACACCAGTGTTCAAAGCAGCATTATTCACAACAGCTAACATGCAGAAACAGCTCCATGTCCACCCACAGGTACGTGGACACATGACATGGTACATACAATGGAGTGTCACTCAGTCTTGAAAAGGAACGGAAGTTTGATACGTGCTGTAACAGGGATGGACAGACCTTAAAAACATTAAGCTCCGTAAAATAAGCAAGAACCAAAGGATTACATCTAATATGATCCCCCTCGGTGACGTATCTCGAATAGGGAAATTTAGATAAGATAGAAAGTAGAAGAGTTACCAGGGGCAGAGGGGAGAAGGGTCCTAGGAAGATGCCAAGTTTGTTTGCTATGATGAAAAGTTCTGGGAACGGTCGATTGTGTTGGCTGCACAGCCCCATAGAATACATTAATGCCACGGAGCTGCTGCGCACTTAAAAACAGTTAAAATGGAAACTGTTACGCTGTTTAAAACGGAAGTTTCTTGTTCTGTTCCCCCCAAGAAACATGTAAGACACATACCAGATTGATTATGACTTGTTTTCCATAAATAATGACTTGTGAATCAAAATGCCTTTGGAAACCATCCATCTAGGAAGAAAAAAAAGAGTTACACACTTTACCACATTTTACTGTAAGAACATTTATAAGTATGTTTAAAATAGCTCCTTAAATGTCCTATTTGTATATTAAGGAGAATGGTACCAGGATTGAGATCAGGTGCCCTAAATACCGTGTGGTAAACAGTAATTCCAGGCCACTCAATTTTGAGCTGCAGTATACTATACTTGAACTGTGCACACAATGTCAAAGCGAACACACAAGGTACTCTGAACAGCACGGGGCCGCACGTGTCACAAGAGCTCTGAAATCTAAGTTTGCCCACGCGTTTGATCAGCTCATTTTCCCCGTTTCCGACCTGCCATCTCTACAGCCTGGGCATCAGAGGTTCACTAGATGCCAGGACCCAGGGAAAAGGCTGCAGAGATGCTGAATCCGACGTGCAGGAAATAAATACGTGTTCCACGTGCAAACTATGATGCCACAGAAGATACTCACATGATTTGCTACTTTGTTGATCAGTGGCAGTGGCTTGTACTTGAGGTTTGGTCTTTGAGACCAGAAAAGTGGTATTGATCCTCGTGTCTAAAAGAAAAAAATATGAAAAGAAATATACACACACAGTTTTTCTCAGCTACTTTACTGTGAGGGTGTGTGTGTGTCAGTCTGTCTGTCTGACTACAAAGAAAGAAAATTAAATACAACCTATAACCATGAAGGAGTGCGTGTATACCTACTGCGCAAGTTCCTATTTTGTGGGAACACATTCGGAAAGGACTTTCTCCTGGTTTTACGCACATGGACTGTGGGTGGCAAACAGTTCTGTTTCCCCTAAACTCTAAAATAAATCAACTTATCTACAAGTGAAACTTAATAAGTTATGCCTGTTACAGAATCCGGCATTATGCTAAAACTAGAAAATGGCTTTATTCATTCTAAATGAGTAGCTTATGAACTTGTAAATATGCTGAACCACTACTGTCCCTCTGGAGCAGCAAATGACCTGTGACCCCACAAGGAGACAACGAGAGACAGGCTGTCCCACAAAGAAGTGCGGGCAGGGGAAAGCCATTGCAAGCCATCACGGCCACCCAGAGGAGGTCAGCCACCCAGAGGAAGTCCGGAGGGTGAGGAAGACCGGAGGCTCCCCTTCCACAACCCTGGGATCTCCTCCCCTCCCCTCTCCCCTCCTTTGGGATTTAACTCAAGGGCAGGTGAGTGCCAGGTTAATGGAGTAGTTAACAGAGTGAACTGTAGACGATACTGCTTTAAAAAGCAGGAAGGAGGAGGACAGCTTCAGCAACAGGGCAGATTAGGACCCGGGTGAGAAGGGTGCCAGGCTAGCCGCCTCACGCGCCCACTTGCCTGCACGAACGAGGCCCTGCTCCCGCTGTAGTGCACGATTTGCTCTGTTTCCACAAAGTTGGCTGCGTGGCCTTCAGAGTCAATTCCTGAATTGAAAACAAGGTAAAGTTAACTTTATTTATTATATAAGGAACACATCAGAAATTCACTAGTTCAGTTTCTCTTGGAAAGAATTAAGTCAGCTCACATTAGTGGAAGAGTACTTGTAAAAATAAATTTCAGACAAATGCACAGTCCACAATCAGAAAGCTAACAGCAGCTCACTCGTTTCAACAGGCTTAAGGGGGCGTATAAAGGACCTATTAATAAACACATGAAGTAGGTCACTATTTAAAGTGTCAATTTTTTATATATATACGATTTCTCTAAAACAGTGTCTTTCAAACTTGAGAAATATTTTCAAGAAAAATCAAATTCTGTGGGGCGCCTGGGTGGTTCAGATGGTTAAGCGCCCAACTTCAGCTCAGGTCATGATATAGTGGTTCATGGGTTCAAGCCCCGTGTCAGGCTCTGTGCTGACAGCTCAGAGCCTGAAGCCTGCTTCAGATTCTGTGTCTCCCTCTCTCTGCCCCTCCCCTGCTCACATGGTTTCTCTCTCTCAAAAATAACTTTAAAAAAATTAAAAAATAAAATTCCCAGGGACCCCTGAGAGTATGTCCTTAGATCCCAGTTTGAAGAATACTATCTTGAAAGTTAAAACCCTTAAACATGATAGCAAATGCAAATGTAGGTCATTAGGTTCACAATATTTCATTACGATAATGCAAATGGTCCAATAAACGTGTATTACAATGATTTTAACGATCAAAATGAAAACAAAAAAACTGTATGATCCTAGAACCCCTGTAACCTCATGAACACATCCACAAAGCCTAGTTTGAAAAGCACTGCTCCCAAGTGTTTAGTCTTAATATTGGTTAGCTCGTCCAATGATCTGAAACCTTCCCATACAGCCCTGTTTACATGCTCTGTGTTTACTACGAAAAGCTTGCATGGACAACTTTCAAGCTAGTCCCAGACTCAAGTTACCAAGTTGTCATTAAGAAATCAATAGATTTTCAACCACCTCAAATGTTTCTTAATATCTTTTCTATCTGATCTAATTTTAACCACCTCAAATGTTCCTTAATGTCCTTTCTATCTGATCGATTTCTCAAACAACATTTTGCGGTGAGGGAGGTGTTTCTGTTAATATTGATGAGGACAAAATTACTGTGTCAAATCAGCAATAAAATGCTTTCCGAATACCTTCTCTTTTCTTAAGATTTTATTTTTAAGTAATCTCTATATCCAATATGGGGCTCAAATTCATGACCCCAAGATCAAGAGTGGCGTGCTTCACCTACGAGCCAGCCAGGTGCGCCCGGCCCCCCCTTTTCAATTTTGAAAACGCAATACCTTCTAAAATCACTTGTCAGAAGCATCATATACTTGGTTCTTTCCATAATTCCCATTAAGGAATATGTGCAGAAATGAGAGTGAGAATGGTGTGCATGGACGGGGGAGGGTGCAGGGAGGGGGGGAGGGTGACAGGCAGGCAGACCTTTATGTAAAAGATTTCCAAGATACATGAAATTTAAAAAACAGAAAAAAACATGGTGCCAGAAAATGGGCAGAGCACACAACCACTGTCTACAGGGAAGGAGAACCCACAACTGTAACAGCGAAACACCGATCGGGAAGGATCAATAACTAACAACTCATCAGCAGGCGGGGGAGGAAGACACAGCAGATGGGCTCCAAAATGAGAAGTATTTTTCCTGCATAAATCCTTATACTTGTTGATACCTGAGGTGTGTGAATGCATTACTTATTAAAAATTTTTAATTAAAAACGTCTCCATTACGAAGGAGTCGCTAACTCCAATTCTGGTTCTGTAATCTTGGCCAGGTCACTTACTGAATGCCTTTCTTCTGCTATGTCAGCTGTAGTAAGGGAATAACCTTTACAACTTCCTGGCCCAAAACTTCTACGATTTATCTAATGGCCCACAGGATTTTATTCTGATATAGCCTAGCTTATTAAAAAAAAAAATAAATAAGGAGAAGAGTTAGAGAAACTCCTTTTCATAATGTCACTGATTTTCGATACAAATTTTAAAAGCTTGGTTTAAGCAAATTAGCATGTTGCTAGTACTAGTCCTAGGGACTAAATGCTCAAAACGTAAATCTTTAAAGTTGAAGGCATAAGGTGAGAGGTCTAGCTTTATGCATGCAAAGGAGCCAAAAGCAATAAAAGAAAATACTTTCTGACAAGAGTTTAGGTTGTTGGAAACTACAGAGTCCAGCTGGCTTTCAGACACCCAGCAAGTAACATGCACGATTCCTCTCGAAGCGGTCAGTGGCGGCCTGCAGGGTCTCATTAGCATCTGCAGTGGCTACAGAAGCTGGAGTACAGCACAGAAGACCTACCTAATTATTATAATGAAGCAGGAGATAAATACTTAATGAAGCTATCCGAATGACAATGAAAACAAAATACAAAAGGTTACATTTGTGTCACCATGTGACTAAACATTAATTATGGACAGATACAACCCACTGCCAAATCGCGCGGACAAAGTTAACCTCACCTCTCACATAATAGCGCACACCAGCTCTGAAACAACTCCTCCTCGAGATGAGAATCCAATCAAAGTATTTTCCGTTAATAGAACACGAGTGCATAGTAATAACTTGGCTCCATTAAGAAAAATGTAACATTTATAGAAATCATACGTATTATTTCCAGATTACATCTGAATCTCTTTACCCTAGCCAGAATGACTCCTTCTTTAAGAGAAAAAAGGACAAAAAATATGCATTCTTTTGGGGTTCTTTGTGAATATCCACAAACAGCCTTTAGTGCTATAATGTTCAATTGTGAAGTTTGGTCAAGTCAGTAAGCCTGTGATCACATACAGGTTATGTTTACATGGTTCATTACACTGTTAATATTTAAATAATATGATTTCCTTTCCCTGCTATCCTCAACCACTTTCTAAAGGTAAACTATTAACCACATCACCAAAAACCTACTCTGAATGAAAAACATAAATTTAAAATAGTTTTGCCTTGAAGTAAGAAATGGAAAAGGGGGGGAGGGGGACTGGCTACTGCAATCTGAAAGAAAAATAAAAATACATCATATGCATAATTACAAATATAAAACAGCCCGAAAGTTGGTAAACCTGTGAAGATTTACAGATCAAACTGTGACTTAAGGACTATCCAGAAACCAATGTTGACTCTACTTTTCCCTTGAAACAGGAAAAGTGAAACTGTATATATATATAAAAAAAAAAATCTCCCTCAAAAGCTTTTCCTGATATGAAAGCTGTGTCCCTAACGACCTGTAACAGTCCATGCCGTGGGCTCACTCTCGGCCGTGCGGAGGCCTCCACCCCTGCAAACTGTCAAGGTGCGGCCTCTCCACCTCCCGGCCAGAGTGAAGGGCTGCAGGCGGGACTCTTCCATTAACATGGTGTTACTAGGAAATATAATAAAGAAAAAATACAGCGCATCTAACTATTTACAGAAACAGCCACATCTGGGGAGCTGTTGCTTCGGGGACAGGGAACTTCCGGCTGGGGTGCGGGGGATGGTGGATGCTCTCGTACTGACTGAACTGTAACAGCAGCACTGGCTGCGATGGCAGCTTTCAGTGAAGTATGTCTGAGCACCACACAAATTAAACACACACACACGCCCACCCACGCATGTGCCCCCAGCACCTCCAAGCACAGGGAGCAGTGACCCCTGCATCTAGCTCCCCTGCGGCCCTCCAAGTGAGGGCGGCTACCCACTCGGCTCACCACTTCCTTACTGGTCTTTCCAGCTTTGCACCGAGCAACGTATGGCCGAGGCGGACCAGTTTTCCCCTTTCTCACACAGAAGGAAGGATAGTGCGTGTGCTCTTCAGGCTTGCTGTATCTGTCCCATCACACGTGTGGGCGGCTCGCTCATGGCAGCAGTCTAGTCCCCTGGGTGGCTCCTGGCTACCCTGGCTTGTCCATCCTACAGCCGGGTTCCTGCTGGCACTGGCGGAACATCGCTGCAAACACCTCTGCACATGGACGTGGGGGAGCGGCTCTGCTAGGCCGCGGACTGTACGCGTCATCTGACCGTATTAGGAAATGCCAAGTTCTCTAAAGGACTACTTTGACTTTTCATCTTTACCATGCTTGATGTCTGTAAGTTTAAGAGAAAGGCAAGTTTCTTTCATCGTCTCAACGGCCTTATCTTCCTTCCTTCCTGGTTTGTTTTGGTTTGCCCTATGCTGCTTTTTTATACCTAACGTTTTTTCTTAACACGTAACTTGATTCCTCCATTATATAGCATAATAGCACGATAAATTATCTATGAACTTACTAACTTCAGAACCCTGAATCTAATTATCTGTTCCTTCACCAACCCATCCAAGTGTCTTCTTGCCCCGAAGCAAGGAGGCTCCACGCTGTCAGCACAGACATAAGATGTGCCGAGCCTGACGTGGGGCTCAATCTCACAAACCATAAGTTCATGACTTGAGCCGAAATCAAGAGTTCGACGCTTAACCGAGCCATCCAGGCACCCCTTTCTCCTGCCTTTTTAATTTCACCATCTGTGACCATGACTTAAAAACACACGGCTCACTTATATTTGAGTTTTATAAAAATTGCACCACTTTCTTGATAGACTTCAGCCCTTGTTTACTTCCACCACTAAGTTCCCAAGACGCATGCTGGGACGGCATGAGCCTGTAGCCCCTCCTCCTCAGTGCCCTGTGCCAGCTGTAAGGACCGCCCTACGAGAGCCCTAACTCTTCTCTGACAGAACTCACGGTGTCAGTTAGTGGTGCTGTGAACACTTCTGTAAATACCTCCTGATATAAACCTCCCAGGTATGTATAGGGGAAGTTCTGGGAAGTTCAAAAGAGAATGCCGAGTCACTTTCAAAATGATGGCACCGAGGGACAATACCAATATGCATTTCTAACGATTCATCCCTCTCTCTGACCTGATTATCATCAAACTTAACAGTGACTCATCCCAATTCACCTTTCCTTAGAACCCACAGCGCCACAGAAGAATCTAGGCAGTATTTATTCTTTCCCTCATGCACCTGTTCCCTATTTTGGGCCAGGGCACAAAGATGAGTAAGACAGGAGCCTGCCCTTAGAGAACTAAGCGTAGCACAGAACATGACTGACTGCTTCATGAATCATTTCCTCTGATTACAAATCTACACACACTTTAGAAAATCCAGAAAGCACAGAAGAAATAACAGAGTAAAACTCATGCAGCAGCTCATCACCATGACATAACTTCTACCATGTAAATGTACTTACTTAATTCCAGTCTTTATCAGTGAGTTTCGCCTGGGGCCATCCACTCCCACTCAGGTGCCTGTGTCACACTTTCTCAGCCCACAAGGACCCTCTCATTCCACCCACACCACTGACCTGTTTCCTGTTCTTTTGTGGGAATAAAAGCCAAATGCTCCCCCCGCACCTGCCTACCAACCAGCATCCACATACACATGCCTGCTTCCCATCCACAACGGCAGAGGGCCGGGGCACCAGCCTCTCTCTGCCTGTCACACACTCACGTCACTGTAGCGTGCGCCTGCGCTCTCACCACCTCCCATTTCCCTTCTCCAAATCCTTCTCCCCAGCACCTGGCAGTATCGCCCATTTGGGGAGGAGAGCCAGGGAAGCAGATACATTAGGAGCCTTCTGAACGCTCGTATTTGACCAATGGGCAGCGTATCAGCCGATTACCCCCGTGCCTGCAGACTGCCTTCTCCCTTGCTCCTGGGACCCCGTGCCCCCTTGCATGGTCCCCTCTTCCTCACTGGTCTTGGCTGGTTCAATCTCATTTCTCCTGCCCTTCCAGCTCACTCACACTGATGCCCCCACTCCACAGGCCCTTTGTCCTCACTGAGGCCTACAGTCCACGGCTCTAGTGTTTCCTCACTATCTAGAACTCTCTACAAGCCACCTTCTCTCTTTCTCCAAGGCCTCTTCTCTTCTCTACATGTATTCCTTCCTTTGATGAGCTCATCAGCTTTGTGGCTTTTGAAATGATGTCTATGCCCAGAGGACTATCAAATTTACATCTCCAACGTGAACTTCCCTCAGAGTCCAGCCCCGAATCCATCTGCTTCCATGACATCTCTACTTGCAAGCTACGGAAACCTCAAGCTCAGGGTGTCCCAATGGGGCTCCGGACACTCTGGCCTCCCTCCCCGCTTCAGGCCCCCAAACACATCAGAGAAGGTCTTCCTTCCACCTACTCTGGCCATGAACCTCGGATTCATGCTAAATACCCTTCTTGCATATCCCACGTACAATTTGTCAGAAAGTTCTAGAACCTGGCCACTTGCACCAGCATCACTGCTACCGTCCTGGTCCCGGGTACCACCACCTCTCACACCTAGGTTACCGCAACTGCCTCCCAGCTGTCACCTGTCCCCTCCCACGGCCGCCTCAGGCCAGTTCTCCATCTCGATCAGAGTGACCATCTCACCACTCCAGGCCTCTAAGCGAGCCCCAAGTTTCTCATCACAGTTACAGTGCGGACAAAGCCCACAAGGCCCTGCGTAACCCGGACCTGGCTCCTCCCCCAAGAGGCTCCCACCTCCCAGTCCCCTCTCCCAGCAGGCTCCTGCCTCCAGGCCTCTGTTCCCTCCCATCTCTCTCTCCGTGCATGTCAAACACTGAAACCACATTAAACAAAAGTGAATTTAAAGCTTTAGATTTAAAGCTAAACAAATGGATAGACTGTTTCTAAAATCACTCTGAAAAACACAACTGGCCCAAACCCCTTAAAGCACTATCTAAGTACACTGCTTATTTTAGTTTTAGAACTTGGAAGTATTCCGGGGAAGGAGAGAGGGCATAGTTACTGAATAAATAAGAGCTTTTATCCCTGGAGCTTCTGATTTTTATTCTCCCACAACTATGAAAAAGGTTTCCTCTACACTTTTTTTTTTTGCTTTTCTTTAAGTATAACAAGAATAATCTACATATTAACGTAATAAGCATCAAAATCAGACTGTGTCCTTAGGAAACTTCCTAGGGGTGCCTGATAAAAAGATCACCTCCATTTCTGCAGGGAAATCACAGTGCTGACTGTGGGCACTCAGCGGTGGGCCTCTCCTTTAAAAACGGGAGCTCACTCTGCTTCCCAATCTTTATCATGATATCTATGGTAAGTTTTTAAAATGAACTCACAGGGCGCCTGGGTGGCATAGTCGGTTAAGTGTCTGACTCCTGATCTTGGCTCAGGGCACGATCTTGCAGTTCATGGGACCGAGCCCCGCACCGGGCTCTGGGCTGACAGCGTGGGGCCTGCTTGGGATTCTCTCTCTCCCCCTCTCTCTCTCTCTCTGCCCTTGCCCCATGAGCGCATGCTCTCTCTCTCAAAATAAATATTAGAAAATATAAAATGAACTTACAATTAGATACTCATTAATTCTGCATGTGCGCTGGCCTTCCCTGGTGAGCATTATTCTTTGTGTAGCATCTATTCTCATTTTCTGTGGTTATTTCGAATGACAAATACAATTTGTGATCATAATTCTCCTCTCCACATCGCTGGGCACCGTAGTTCCTCAATATAACTTTTTTAGGGGAAAGGGGAACTTTTCCTTTTAATAGCCAGGTTCAAACTAGTCTTGTTTATTGGTACCAAACCGAATAAAGACAAAATACGGGGTGCGTACTTCATCGTTAAACCACCCGCCCCAGAACTCTTGAACAGAGAGAATAATTCAGTCTAAAAAGTTCACTTAAAAAAAAAGGGGGGGGAGGGGGGCCTTTTGTAACCACTACTCTAAGATTTTTATGTTAACGGGGGTTTGATTTTGTTGTCAAAAGCAATTTCTATTAATCCTAAAACAGCCTCCTTATTCCTACAGCTGCCTCATTAAGCACGCGGAGCCGGAGCCCGGTGGACGGCGGATGACGATGCTACTAAGGATACAGCCATGTAACACAGGCAGGGCAAACCGGTGGACCTGAAATGAAGAGAAACATCATATTTAGGAAGAAATATGCTTTGAAAATAAACAAGAAGAAGGCGCTACATGAAACATTCCTGCACTATACAAAAATATCTGCACACCTACAAATACAAGGAGGTATCAAGCTTATGGGTAACTTTCTATTTAAAAAAAAAAAAAACCAAAAGTCTCTAATGAAGCCCAGTCTTTCCAATAAAAAAAAAAAATCTAAGCACGTGATGCAATCACTTGGGCCCGAGTGCTCGGGTTCGGGGACACTAAGAACCACATGACACTGCCAAGCACTCACCTCCCTCCCGTCCGCCTTGGCCAACAACAGCCTCACAGCTCCGGGAGAGGTGCCGGCAGCTCACTCTCATCCGCAGAGCAGAGCAAATGCCAGGGAGCACACTAGGCGATTCTATGTGCCGAGATTCAGCCCACTACGCTTCCCGGCTGGGCTTTCCTGTTCACCCCGCATCCGTACCCGCAAAGGACACAAGAAGGTGACACCCACACACGTCTCTCCTGGGTGACAAGACCAACGCAGAACTCTCACCTTCCCAGGGGCCTCCCAGCACTCACCCACCAGGACCCGTGCACTCTCTCTTACTCGCAGAAAGCAGTGCATTTTTATTCAGTATGTTTTCTTTTTCAAAGCTTCTATAGCAATCAGAGTAAATTAAGTAGGCTTCTTCAAACCAGAAAATGTGAGGGGGCAGACCTGTCAAAGGTTGTAGCTTATAAAGTGAGATGAACGAGAGCTGTTTACTAAAACCCTGGTGATTGGGCAGCCATTATGTAGAACACATACTCAACCAGAACTTGGACAGTGACAAGCAGGTTTTATCTGGAGGACCTTACCTCTGGCTGCGCAGAAAGCTCTCTTAGAAGATGACCATTCCACACAAACCGCTGATCTGCCTGAGAGAGAAGATTTAAAAGTAGTAAAATTTCTCCTGCCAACCTGACTTCCCACTGGAAGAACAATTAACGATCAGTGTCTCCACCTGCTGGCTACACGCTGGGCTCACTGACAGGCCAGACAGACCTCCCCTCACACCTGCCCCTCGGGGGATACCGGGTCTCCCTGGCACAGGCCAGTGCTGCGGGCCCAGGCAGAAACCTGCGAGTCCTCTGGAATCTGTCTTTCTCTTATCTGTAGTCGACTGCCAAGTCCTACTAAATCTCCTTCCAAATCCATCCTACCTCCTGCATCTCTGCTCCCACCGCGCTGGCCAGCACTTGACTCCAGTCTAACTACTACAATGGCCTCTCCAACCCCACCTCCAGTCTCGGCCCTGCCCTTCCCAGCCTTCCCTCAAATGTGACCCGTCTCCCGGCTGCTGGGAATTCTTCAGTGGCTCGCTATCACCTGAAGAACAAGCCCCTGGCGGCCTAGCCAGTGCTGGGGTCTGGCTGCCCCTCCATGAACTCCCTGGGGGCACCTCTGGCCTTTCAAACTCTAAAGACAGAGGAAGTCCCCTCAGCAACACAGTGGCTTAACTCTCCATTCTCTTTATAAAACACGGAGGCTGGCACCCTTCCTGTCCCACTCCCTGCCCCTCCACAGCTGAGTCCTGGGGGGCAGGGGGCGGGGGGCCCTGGCAGTCAGCAGCAGCCAGCCTCAGGTGTGTACCTCAATCACTGTGTGCCCACCACACCTGTTATTCATCGTTACATAATTAACTAAATGTCTTAGACATCAAGGAAATCGGGCTTAAAAGCAAACTACTTTATACATATATGCAGCTGAACGATGCAAAACTTAAAATGTTAAAAGGCAAGCTAACACAATACTGCTGTTGGATCCAGAGGAGCGGCAGGTAGAGAAACTGAATCTACAGGATTCTGCAAACAGATCGCTCGGCGCAGTCAAACTCTTCACAGACTCAAACCGGAAAGTGCTATGGGTGTACTTTATACAGGAATCAAGGAAACCAAAATGAAGAAAAGCTAATAGTCCTATATCAAAAAATTAACCAGTGTCAAACTTTATAAATTAGATAAAACGCTTAAGGTATATGTGGTTCATTTGTCACTTTCACGATTTCCCACATTAACTTTAACTGGCTCTTGATGGCAGACAGATTCCCTTCCCAACACGTGAGGTGGCTCTGTCTCCATGTCACAGAACACTGCCCCCATCTCCACCTGGAAGCCTCCCTCTCCCACTGTTCCCTGACCAACAAGGCCTATTCAGCATCCAGTGTCTGCTCAAGAGTACCTTCCTTGGTAGTCACCCCCAGGGCCTCCCGACCCAGGAGAACCCGGGTTTCCCTTGGACCCCACCCCACTTTGGTACATAGCTCCATGACAGCAACTGTCCCTTGTTCTGTGACTTCCTGGACTTGTGCTTCCCCAGGGAATTCTGGGCTCCCCCCCAGGGGACACCCTTTTTGCTCTGTGTCCCCACTGGCTGGTACAGTGCCTGGTTCACAGCAGGCATCCCGGAGACATCTGATAAACAAATGGAGAATGTAACATAGCAACTGCATCTAAAAGCATCGGTCTCTGTGGTTAAAAGCCAAATTTCCTGATTGCAGCTTACATCCAAATTTGCACCCAAGCCTACATACAATTTTACTAGATTAGAATATAAAGTCTTAAAAGAGCCAACTAAAATACTGATTTAGGGTAAACTATAGGAAATTATCATTTTTATTGCTCAAAAATGATCAATTACTGGCAATCTCATATGGTCTAACCTAAAAGCGAAGATAGCAACTTTTTATATGTCTGATCACCAAACACATCTAAGGTTTATTAATAAAAAATCAAGGCAGCAATTATCCAGATTCCTAAACAACAGGAATTTTAGGCTGATAGCATTTGAGACCTACTTTTGAAGATACACTCATATTAAAAAAGAAAGGCAGGGCACCTGGGGGGCTCAGTTGGTTAAGTGTCTGACTCTTGATTCTGGTTCAGATCATCATCTCATGGTTTGTGGGATCGAGCCCCACATCAGACTCTGTGACAGCCTGGGATTTTCTCTCTCTCTCTCCCCCTCCCTCTCTTCCCCTCCCCCCAACTTGTGCTCACTTTCTCTCCCTCAAAATAAATAAAACTTTTTTTTTAAAGGTTTATTTATTTATTTTTAAGACAGAGAGAATGTAGGAGGGGCAGAGAGAGAGAGGGAGACACAGAATCTGAAGACAGGCTCCAAGTTGTCAGCACAGGGCCCGGAGCCTGTCTTTGGATTCGGTGTCCCCCTCTCTCTCTGACCCTCCCCTGCTCACGCGGTCTCTCTCTCTCTCAAAAATAATAAAACATTAAAAAAAATTTTTTAAAGAACTCAAAAAATAAAAACATTTCTTTTTTTAAAAGGAGATGTGGTGATACTTTTTTTAATATTTTTATTTATTTCTAAGAGAGAGAGAGAAACAGCGTGAGCAGGGGAGGGTCAGAGAGAGAGGGAGATACAGACTCTGAAATAGGCTCCAAGCTCTGAGCTGGCAGTCAGCACAGAGCCCGACGCGGGGCTCGGACCCACGAACTGCGAGATAATGACCTAAGCGAAAGTCGGACGCTTAACCGACTAAGCCACCCAGGCGCCTCAAAATAAAAACATTTTTAAAAACCCTAAAATAAGTAAAAATAACTGAAAACGAAGCTTACCCTTTCCAAGAGGCTCATTTCTTGGAATTCTGGGCTCGTGTTGGACAGCCGCTGCAGGGTGTGGGTCAAATCATACGTCGTTGAGAAGTAAAACCCATCCACGTTCAGGACATGGTTGATCATCGCTAAGAAAGTTTTATTATCCTGTAACTGTAAACAAAGGGGAGAAAAACATCAGTCTGCCTCATACTTGAGAAGGATCTGTCCAGATCTGTAAGTCCGGCCCCGTTCATTGTCACCGGCATGCGGACTGATAGGCAGGATGATGCCTGCCATCCCCCAGGACGCAGGCCAGGTCCTGACATGGAGGAAGTTCGATAGCAGCGGAGGGTGTTGTTGCCTTAGCTGACAGGCTTGAACTCCTGCCCTGGGGGTCCTTCAGTCTCTGCTCGAAGGGGCACAAGTTACTTGAACACAACACCAGCGCCTCTGGTTATGACCTCCTGCCAGACCCTTTGGAAATAGATTCTTTCCTCTTCATAACACCCTTCCTGGGTTAGTGTTATTACCCTCATGTGACAAATGAAAAGCACAAACTCATGAGAGGCCCAATGACACAGTGAGTAAAGAACAAAGGAATAGGGGCGCCTGGGTGGCTCAGCCGGTTGAGCACCTGGCTTCGGCTCAGGTCATGATCTCACAGTTCGTAGGTTCGGGCCCCATGTCAGGCTCTGTGCTGACAGCTAGCTCAGAGCCTGTCGCCTGTCCTCAGATTCTGTGTCTCCCTCTCTCTGGGCCTCCCCTGCTCTGTCTCTCTCTCAAAAATAAATGAAACATTAAAAAAAAATAACAAAGAAATAATACCGTCCTCATTCCTAAGAAATTTCACTGGGCTGGAAGGGGATTAAATTCTTTTTATTAATGCAAAGATCTGAAAAAGAAATATCCGGTATAAATAATACTGATCTTTACTTTCTGGTCATCATTTCAGCTGCCTTTCCCAACGAGTATCGAGACTGACATTTACTTTTATCCTTGTTTTAAAAAACAACTGATGTTTGGTAACGTTTAAGGACTATCCAACAAATAGCATGTTAAAAACCTACATACTACGAAATTTTTAATTTGGTCTCATACTTTTTTTTTTTTTTTTTTTTAAGAACAAAAAGTATAAGCCAATTATAGGCAGTGGACAATGTTAAAATTAGTTGGACAGCCGGACAATCAAGTATAGCAACAAGAAGAAATTGTTCAAGTAAAGATTATCGGTCTATTAAATACAACCATTTTTACTGCCTTAAATACCATGACTTATAGAGAATGAACATATTGACATATATTAATATATTTAGTAAAAATGAAATTTCAACTTTAAAGTATGGAAGCATATCCTACAGTCTGACTTAGTCAATAAGGTAGTAAGGACTGGGGCTCATTTTTAGAAATGTTTACCATGGGAGAGTTACGTGTTACATGTTTTAGGATCCTAAATTTTCTTTTAGAAGCCAACATTTTGTAATCTTGGGAGTAAAAATGAAAGTCAAAATTTTGAAACAGCAAATACTGTAAATAAAATCAGTCAGAAGACAAACACTAAGCGTCAATCTCTAAACACAGTGCTGGCTTAAAAAAGTTAATTTTCAAAAACTAGGACAGGGTGACACCACTCATGTAATTTTCAAAAAAAGACTTCATGCAAAAATACTGTTTGAATATGAACACAGGCGATCTTGATTTTGCATGAGAGGGTGGGACTGTGAAATGACCATGCGATCTTAAAGCGGATCATCTTAACCATTTTGATCACCAATGGGAAAAACCATAGATGTGATAGGAGCTTTAAAAACTTTTTACCAAAACATTAAAAACGCTCTTTCTCTAAGCTGTAAATGTACAGGGAAACGGAAAGGTATTGAAGCTAGTATTTATTTAGCACACTGTAACTTATTTCTTTTTAATGGTTTAAGTTTTCATTTCAGCACTGGGCACACAGGGTTGTAGTATTCAGGCACACAACACAGCGACTTAGTTACGCTGGAATTTAAAACATCAGAAACACTGAGAATCAAAAACATTTTCCTTCTTGTCAAACAGTTTATCAAGAGTAGCTTCGTTAAAAAAATTTAAAAAAAAGTATAAGGGGGTGCCTGGGGGGCTCAGTCGGCTAAGCGACCGACTTCGGCTCAGATCATGATCTCACAGTCTGTGGGTTCGAGCCCCGCGTCGGGCTCTGTGCTGACGGCTCGCTCAGAACCCAGAGCCTGCTTCAGATCCTGTGTCTCTCTCTTCCCCTTCCCTGCTTGTGCTCTGTCTCTCTCTCAAAAATAAATAAACGTTAAAAAAAAATTAAAAAGAGTAGCTTGCAGGGTGCTTGCCTTCTTTTCAGATAACCCGTAATACAGTCTCTATCCCCAGCCAACTGTCCGCCTTTCCAAGTCTAAGTCCGCTTCCAATGCCTCAGCCCTGGCACTCCCCAAGTCACGGGACACCCGAAGAGTTCCTCCCGTGTGAAGTCTGTCGCCAGCGTCACTTTCTCTGGGTCATCCTCAACCTTCTCTTCACAACTGCTTTACCGTGAACATCAAGAAAGAAGACCACGTTCACTAAGACCTCTGGCTGCACACCGAGAGCCTCCGGAAGGGCAAGCGCCACCGCTCTTGCGTTCAATCCAAAATTTGCGTCTACAGTTGTCGCTTTTTGCTTCTTTGCATGTCCACATTTGCCGGGTGGATAGCTCATATACCAGGGCAATGCAATGTAAGCTGTGCTGTTGGGGGGCCCTGTTCCTACACTACAGTAACGGAAATCCGGTCACACGCGCATCGTGCAAAAGGGGGGCTGTTTGGGCACACGCACGCACACGCACTTCTATTCGCATGCAGTAAAAGAAAGCTTTCTCTGGACAAAGAGGGAATGAATGAGATGGGATGAGCAGAACTGCAAAGGTATTTCATGTTTTATTTCTTTACAGAAAAGATATGAAGTTAAATCTGGTTGTTGGAAGAGATTTGTTTTCTGTCTGTCCTTTCCTCTACATGTGAAAAGCTCATAATTTAAGACTTTGAGTCTGTTTAAAAGAAAAACCAAGAACAATAAAACATACAGAGGACTTTTAAATAGTACGTTTTATGGCTACGTATAAAGGTGTGTAGGGGAACCTCGCTCTCTGCACTGCTTAAATAACTAGGCTTAACAGAAATCCACCAAAATCCCTTGTTCCACCTCCCCCCGCCCCCCCCAAGGTACTGCCTCAGGTTCCACAATCAGGAAGTGACCCCACTTCTTACCTGAATATCAGTTAAGTGCAACATTGTCTTCTTATAAGAAAGGACATCAAAATCTGTTGCTTTCCAGATTACATGATTGAAAAATTCACCTATTTTTGTCTTTTTGGTAATGACAATTAGATAATTACCTGCAAAAAGCAAAGCCAAACACACATAAATATAAAAAAGGCAACTCTAAAGCCAAAAGTAGCCGAAGTCCTTACTGTTTAAAGGCCAGCGGGCCAGGACTTCACACTGCTGTATGGGTAACAGGCCGCATTTGCTTTAAAAGGGATCTTAGAGGGCGCCTGGGTGGCTCAGTCGGTTAAGCGTCCGACTTCAGCTCAGGTCATGATCTCACAGTTCGTGGGTTCGAGCCCCGCATCAGGATCTGTGCTGACAGCTAGCTCAGAGCCTGGAGGCTGTTTCAGATTCTGTGTCTCCCTCTCTCTCTGACCCTCCTCTGTGCTCTATCAGAAATAAATAAAACATTAAAAATAAATTAAATAAATAAATAAGAGGGATCTTAGGATTTATGACTAGAAGGAACAGCACACTATTTAGAAAAGTTCCTACTGAAAGGTCAAAGCATTTCTCAAATAAATAAATAAATAAATAAATAAATAAAAATAAAAGCAAAGGCAGTGATCTTAGCAGATGAAGTGTAAAAGACAGAAAACCTTCCTCTCTCCCGCCATCCCCAATGCATATAGGCCTCTGCTAATGCCCTTCCCAGTCCGTAGCTAAAACATCATGGGTCACGAGACCTGGCCACTGCAGGATAGATAACGTCCCGCCTACTCCACCCCTATATCCTTCAAGTCATCATAAATGGCCAAGAAACGTACCGGGGCAATACAACTGGTCACTGCAACATCACAAAGAGGAAGCATCCAGAATTAAGAAGCCATCACAGCACCAGGAACAGTACCCCAGCCCTAACCCTGGCCACCTCCTCCTCCCACAAGTAAAACAGGCTAAGCCTTTACCATGACATTAACTCTGAAGCTCTGTGCAAGGTTCTACCCTTCCTGGAAGTCTTCCTTGTACATCTGTCTCCCAGACCGTGTCCCAAGGTACTGCGGGAATTTCCTACCTACATGCACCTCTCACTAGACTGTGAACTGCAAGACCAAAGGGCCTAGCATCTTCTCTAACTCAACCTCTAGCACGGTGCCTGTCAGTACAGGAATTTTTTTAAGTTCCATGAAACAACATTTAGGTAAACAAAATCACTTTCCTTAACAACTCAGAACCATGTAATAGTCTCCAACATGTACTATGTCATACTCATCCTTGAAACGGGACCGATGATATAGAATCCTCTGGTCCATCAGTACATGAAGATGTTTATTTAAGTACTCTTAGGATATATGAGGAAATGTCTAGTTGGCTAAGGATTTCAACTCTAGTTGAAATAAAACCAAACACAAAAAAATTTTATTATTTTTTTTTTAGCAGAACCTCAGGCTGATAAATGTAACCACCTGTCATTTCGAATATGTCACTTTTCGAACCTAATGACAAATACCTGACCTATATTATTGCCTAGAGCATGACAGGAAGTGTGCCTTCATCTTCTGCCGTGTCAGTTTAATTACCTTCTTTGCCCATCTTAGCTTATTTTCTTACCTGCCACCAGATGGATTGTGCCCAGGATACCAAATATTGGTCTTGTGACAGCTGAAGGAGGAATATCTTTCTTGACTTTAAAAGAAAAAGAAAAAAAAAAGAAAAATCACACAGAAAAAGCTCTCCAACAGAAAAGGAAATTTAGTTTATTTCAGGAGCCACTTCACAGTCAACATGCATGATTTGTTCTGAGGGAGGAGGAGTTCTTCACAGGAGCTCGATGTCCATTTTGGCAAAATATGAAATCATACGTGCGTGTGACATACAAAGGTCTCTGCCGTCTAGAGTCAGGTGCCCGGCGTAACAAGCACCAGCATCCCCAGCATGTAAACCGTGGGATACTTCTACAGTCATTTCTCAACCAACTGTATTCAACCTCTTGTCAGAAACCTAAGTCCCTGTCCATTTAAAAGAATCAGAAAGTTAACGGGCGTGGGAGGGGATGAATTTAATCTCAACATGCAACTAACGGAAGGCACAGACCTGCCCGTCCACCTCTACAAATGTGGAAAATGGGAGGTGAGACCCAAGGGACGAGGGGACGAGGGAGGAAGGAAACACGGGTGTGCAGGGAGGAACCACCATTAACATGACTTTACCAATAGTGCCCTGATTAGTAACAGAGTATCTTCGATGATGGGATTCATTTCATGATTATTCAGCTTTCAGCCTAGGGGTTTCACAAAGCACCCCTGCACATGCTAGGGAATAATGCCCCCGAGGCAGGGAAGGTAGGGCCTCCTCATCCAAAGACTGACTTTGCCACATCCACCCCTCTTCCGTCTCCCAGACTCGCACCGCAAGGGTGCACTGCCAGAGGCTCTAAGGAGGCGCGGCCCACAGGGAAACAAAGCTGTTCCCAGCTTCGTTCACGGCCCCGAACACAGGGGGCCATACAATTTCTCTTCTGGTCCTGGCTTAATTACCATCCTAGAGCTTATTCTGGAAAATGGCTGCCAATCCAAGTCCTGTTATTCCGAACAAAGTAATTCTGAGTAAGGCCTAAGATTCACTTCTGTTTCCCTCAGTGATTCAATTTACCTAGCGTGGCTTTGCCGCAGTCACCGCACGTGACAGACGGGGACACCAGCGTAGTAAAGCTTAGAGGAAATCCTGAATATACAGAGATCATCTGATAAACTTAATGTACTATTTGTTGATGGAGCCCTATGTTATAGTAACGGGAGTATAAAAGCAATAAAACAGCTAATTCCCCAGGATACATGTTAGTTTTTCATGGAGGGGAAAAAATCCCCCTTTCCATGGCAATTGTCTGCATTCCCAAACAGAAAAGAAAAGAAAAGAAAAGAAAAGAAAAGAAAAGAAAAGAAAAGAAAAGAAAAGAAAAGAAAAAGGAACAACTAGCAGAGCAAAGGTGAGTGAGTCATCCCCTCATCACCACAGGCTTCAGGTCAAAGTTCCTCCTCACGTGTCTACAGAGGCCTGCGTGGTGTCCTTTCTACATCCAAGCTATTCATGACCTTCAGCTTTGACCCCTCAAACGGGTCTGTGGTCTCTACCTACACATAAATGTCACCGAAAGGTCAAAAATAATTGAAGGGAGCCTGAGTGGTTCAGTCAGTTGTGCTTCTGACTCTTGGTTTTAGCTCAGGTCATGATGCCAGGGTCGTAGGATCGGACCCCACCTCGGGCTCCATGCTATGTGTGGAGCCTGCTTAAGATCCTTCCTCTCTCCCCCTCTCTCCCCTGCTCACACTCTCTCAAGAAAGCAGCCATCACCTAACAGACACAGGTAATGCCAAATTATCAAACAAAAACAGACCTCTAATTCCATCTGGTCAAAGAAAAACTATGTATGGTACTTACCAAAACCACCAGATAACCACAGAAATAGAAGTTTTTGGCCATCTCTTTCTCACACTTTACTATCCTATGTATATTCATATTTCACTTTGCCCACTCAAAGGATATTTACTGCTTACTGACCGTTTACTGTTTGGTTACTCAAATTTCGTACTTAAAAAGCCTACAGAAGACTCGGTCTAGAGGTGAATCTTTAAACAAGGAAAATATGAAATTCTAAATGTGATGTCACATGGTACACTAGTCACCAAAATTATTGCACACTTAACCAGAAATCAGTGTTCCATACAACTGGGAAAAAAAAAGTTGTTTTTCACACCCGAGAGAACCAAAACCAAAATACAACTGGAGAGACAGACAAGATATAGATAGATAAAGCTTAGGAACATTATTTGCCCAAAACGTAAGTTTTAGTCATATATATGCATATATACATATAATTTTTCTTTTATTAAATTATCCTCATAGTCATGAGTATTTTCAAAATCAAAAGCGGCTGTTAAAATTCCACACACTTAATGTTCAAACCACTTTCACACTCAAATACCCTGAATCTTACAGCTAGAGGGGGACTCAGACATCGACAAGACCAATCCCGTTAGAGCACAGAAGAGGGAATGGATCAAGAGATAATTATGTTTTTAAATCCTCACAGATGGTAAAGTTTTCAAGCCCATTCTTCCTTTTTCACAAACCGGAGGAAGCAGGAGATGAATGCATAGAAACCAAACGAGGTGGCAGTAGTTAGCATTTTAGACGACGAAGCTCGGGGAGCCGCACGCAGAAACACCCAATGCGTTTACTTTAATAAGCACAACTGCAGCACTAAGTCCTTCCTGCTGCCTCTGACCCTGGCTGCCAAATACCTGACAGGGTGACTTCTGTGGACACGCGATCGATGATAAGTACGTCATCCGCTCCATCATCACAAGCTTCCACGTAGAATTTTTCAGGTGTGATGTGCCTAAGAAGAAATGGAAAACCATAAATACCTAAATCAGACAAAATGAAGCCTTGAAAAAAAAGAAGCTATTTAGTGGAAGAATTTCAGTGGTGCTTAAATTTGACATCGAAAGGATTCCCAGCTACGGGATGGCAGTTCTGCTGTTCTTGCGCATCCACTGTAACTCTTTTTGCTTATGTATGATGCTCAGGAAGAAAATCATAATAAATCCTGATTTATTACATCCCCCAACGGCGCAGAATGTAGCCCAGTCGGGAACAGTCAGCTTCCGCAGACTGCGTGCTGTGTGCCCTAAGGCCAGTTACTTGTCCTCTGTTCTTCAGTCCCCTATTCGTAAAATAGGGATACTCTCACACATCAAGCAGCACTGTGGGAAGATAAACTGAGCTTCTCTGCGAAGCACTCAGAATAACATCTGACTCCTAGTAAGCAAGATGTATTGCTAAAAATATTAAGAAACACATTTTAAATAAAACAACTCCAATAAGGTAGGTTAAAATAAATTAACATTTAGGTGGTTTTGTTTTTGTTATAATGCCATGTTTAAAAAAAAAAATAATAATGAGTGGGGCGCCTGGGTGGTTCAGTCAGTCAAGCATCTGACTTTGGCTCACGTCATGACATCATGGCCTGTGAGTTTGAGCCCCATGTCAGGCTCTGTGCTGACAGCTCAGAGCCTGGAGCCTGCTTCAGATTCTGTGTCTCCCTCTCTCTCGGCCCCTCCCCTGCTCAAGCTCTGTCTCTATCTCAGAAATAAACATCAGGGGAATCAGGCCTGGGACAAACTACTCAGAATGGATGCGACTTTGTAACCAGAGTCCAACAGAAAGAACCCTCTGGTTCCTGGGGAGAGCACCTGGGTAACTCAGGCCAGCGGGGTGAGGGAGGTTAGGGTTGCCTCAGGAAACAGTAACCTAAGACGGTGAGAACCACCCAGCCCAGGGCCCTGGTGGCCATGCCGAAGGATAGCCTCCCGGAGCTGGTCTAGCCCAGGGAATGGGCCAGTTTTATTTTTGTGGGGTGGTTTCATTTTGTTTGTATTTTCCAGGAACTAATCTTCATTGTCTTAAACCTCATTTGAAAGAATTTGTCTGTGCAGCAGACAACCTTTATTTTTTTTTTAATGTTTATTATTTTTGAGAGAGAGAGAGAGAGAGAGAGAGAGAGAGAGAGAGAAAGAGAGCACATGAGCAGGCTCCGGACTCTGAGCCATCAGCAGAAAGCCCAACACAGGGCTTGAACCCACAAACTGTGAGATCATGACCTGAGCCAAAGCCAGATGCCTAACCAACTGAGCCATTCAGGTGCCCCTTTTCCTTTCCTCTTAAATCCTACTTCTATTCCACTTGCCTTGCCCACAAAAAATCTGATACAAACCCACACAACTTTCACTGGCATTGTCTCTTATATACAGATGGTGTGAAGCTAGATGAGATTACAGAAATGGGTGGGTGGTTCAGTTGGCTAAGCATCTAAGTCTTGATAGCAGCTCAGGTTGTGATCTCACGGTTGTGGGTTCGAGCCCAATACCGGACCCTGCAATTTTCTCTATCCTGCTCCCTCCACACCTCCCCGGTTTGGGTGCTCTCTCTCTCTCAAAACAAACAAACATTAAAAAAAAAAAAAGCTATGTGGGATTACAGAAACTGTACCGACCATTTCTGACTACAAGTTCTCAACCCTTAAGTACCCAAACACAACTTACATCCTTTTATGGTTGGTTCATCTATAACCAACTTTTTAATATTAGGTTAGTTTCCTCCACTGAAGGGGGGAGGTTGCTAAGGGAATGAAAATCAATCAATTTTAATACAAATCAAGCAAAACGCAAAAAAGAAGACAAATCTGCTTTAAAAACCGCAGTCTTCAACTCAAACTAAATCAGCAGTTCATTTCTTTGTATAGTACTGAAGAACATTCTAGTGGACAGACACCTCACGGCTTCCTTAAGCATTCACCTGCTGATAGACACGTGAGTTGCCTCTGGTCTGGGGTATGAACAACAAAGGTCCCATGAACATTCTAACACAGGTCTAAGGGAGACATACCCTTCACTTCTCCTGGGTGACTGCCTATAGGCGGAGCGGCTGGATCTCACGGGGGCTGTAGGTTTAACTCACACGGAGGGGGAAAGGGAGGTGCTGCCGGCACAAGGGAAACTTTCCAGGGTGAGGGAGATGTCCATTCTCCTCATACCGGGCATGGTTTTATGGGTTTAAAAATACATCCAAATGGATCAAACTGTACGCCTGAAATATGTGGAGTTTACTCTATGTCAGTAAACTTTGTACTTCCAATATAGCTATGAAAAAAAAAAGTGAGATATCCTAAAAGGAATATGACAAACTTCCAGACAATCTACTCACAGGGAAGTCACCTCTAGTCTTAAGTCATTAAAACAAAACTGTTTATCTGCAGATGGTTTGTGCAAGCGTAAGTCGCTAAGAGTATGTCAAGAACTTTCCTGAAAAGCTAATGATATGTTAAGTATTACACAAGCACGAGTGACTAGGATGTGGGTAACAGATCAAAAATAATAGAAAAAAAATTAGTAAGAAACAGAATTCAAAAGCAAGGCTTCTCTATGAAAGCTTTCAAAGAGGGGCGCCTGGGTGGCTCAGTCAGTTAAGCATCCGACTTCGGCTCAGGTCATGATCTCATGGTTCATGAGTTCGAGCCCCCACGTCAGGCTCTGTGCTGACAGCTCAGAATGTGGAGCCTGCTTTGGATTCTCTGTCTCCTCCCTCTCTCTATCCCTCCCCTGCTCACACATGCACTCTCTCTCTCTCTCTCTCTCTCTCAAAAATAAGTAAATAGCCATTTTAATTTTAAAAAAGCTTTCAAAGAGAGCGCTGTCTCCAAAGCCTCGCTCTTTAAGGGCACCCCACTCCCACCCTCGGGCGGCTGCCAGCGTCCCTGCAGCACAGGTGTCCCTACTGCATTCTTTGAGGCTTAAACAGCTTAGGGCCTGAACGAGCCCGTGAAATACTTCAATTGCTGGCACCATCTCGAAACGTCGTGTCCCACCTCCAGCACCTGAAGAACAGCAAAGACTCTCTCCTCGGTTGTCTTACTTTTGAAATACTGATCACAGCGCTGATAAGGAGCAGTCCGGTGCCAACGTTGCTTCCGTGTCAAGTCAACCACCAGTGACCTGTTCTCGCCCCAGCAGTGCCAAAGCAACCACCCAGAGTCACGGTCAATCGACACGCACGCGTAGGCCATGTCTGGATGGGAAATCAAAACCCAGCACTCGCATAACTGATCGTAAGCCTCTGATTGAAACACGGCTTCAACATTTGAGAAGAGCACTGCATTAGGAGCAGCCGCACCGAAAAGACCTCCAGATCTGCAGTCAAAAATATAGCGGTTCTGCCCCCGACTTTGCCAGCTACCAGCCACACAGTGCCGGCCAAGTTCCGAGTGTCCGCCCCGTACCAGCCCTTGTTCTGGGGACCAGTCCAGAGTCCCTGACTCACAGAGCTTACCTTCTAACGGGAGACAATCAACGCACAAGGCAGGAATTCAGGGATTTTGGAGGGAACCGCTGCAAAACAGTAATAAACCCAGGGTGACTTGGCCAAGGTGCGGGGTGGGGGGAGGATCATCCATGCTCCTGCGGACTGAATGAAACGCGAAAACGCTCCCCACAGCCGTGAACAAAGACAAGGCCCCTCTGGCAACAGGCCGGCTCTGTCCGGGCTGCCTTCAGGCCACAGGCTTGAGCGACAGGGACCTGCACAGGGCAAAAGGGCCCAGAGCGAGCAGCTGCTGAAGGCGAACAGGCGGTGCAAACCGGTTTCTGAGGCCACCTGGAAAGAGCCCAGGCCCTAACTAAGCAGCGGGCTCCTTGCCGCCGCGCGCCCACGGTGACAGGGCCAGGGGAACCCCACACGTCGGTGTTCCCCCACGTCGCCGTGACTATGGCCCTCACACCGCCTCCTGGCAGACCGTCCCTGAGTATTGCAGCACGCTCCCGTCTCCGCTGCTGCGCCTCGGGTCCAGTCCTTCACGGCCTGGCCCTCTTCCCACCCCCCCACCCCACCCCCATTCCCGCCCCACAACCTCAGCCCTGCGTCAGGCCTGGGGATGCAAACGTGGACCCCGACTACCTCACAGAAGAGCGAAGGATAAACGGGCATTTGTGAGGTACTTTTGCGAAGGATCAAAGGGCTGACTCACAGGTATAACTTTTTACTAATAACGAAAACATCCTTTAAGAGAGACAGGAGAAAAGTTGCAAACTTTCTTGACAGGGTGGTGAAACAGGCCCAGAAAAGTTCTTCAGTTCACACTTTCAAGACATAACACAATGGAAGGTGGCTTTGCTGATACCTTTGCCACATGTACCCCATCTGAACAATTTAGCTTTGATTTGATCGGTAGATACTGGAATCAAAGTGTGTCCTACTAAATACATACCCCCAATATTAAGACTATATAAAACAGACCTCTGATTTATCCAAGGTCCCAGAACATACACTGTGAATAAGAATTATGAATGAATGTCTTTCTTATTTGTAAATATGAATCTCTAACAAGAAAAAGCTACAGGAGACAATGTTGGCTTTAAGACAGCATGAAATGCAGGTTACACCTTGCTACTTGACCATTCTTTTCTAAGAATAGGAAAAATACCATGTATAACATTTGCAGTCAGATAAACACATCCGAAATGAGATCAACAAATCAAATTTTAATTGAAGTATAGTGAAGTGAACTTCCAAGAGTGAAAACCCTCCATTAAAAAAAGTCCAGAAATTCTTTGAGAACATGGAATCTAGGGGGTACCGACAGGGGGTGCAGGCCGCGGGGCAGACACTAGGCATTCAGACGCAGGTCTGAGAGAGAGAAAGCGCTTGGAAATGGGCTAATGCACTAAGTCAGCAGAGTCTAAGCACCTATGGGCTGAGAGCCAACCAAGCGAGCAGACCTCAGCGGCAGAATATGCTGAAAAGCCTCGAGAACCGGAAGGAAAAGGGAACAAGGACTAGGGTGGG